GGTCACAGAGATTTGGCCCGTGAGAAGTCCAGGGCCCTAGAACATTCCTCCCCCTTACATTGTTTGCTGTGAGCTGTTATTTTCTGTAGAGCTGCTAAAGTTATTAATTGAAGGCTTTGATTCTAACACACCCAAGTGTTCTCTGGAGGCTTCCAGAGCTTTCTTTCCCAGGGGCCCACATTCGGAGGAAAGGGATACAGCCAATCAGTAGGAGAAAGGTCAGGAAGAATGGAGAGTGGGAAACTCCCACATTGGATTCTAGGCCCAGGGTGAAGGCTGAGAAGCTCCTTATTTGCTTACTGTACATGGAACTAATGGTCCTGAGACTGCCTTCTCCATGGACAAACCTCATACTTGTAAATGACTGATAGTGTCTCAAATGAAAAATACAGAAATAAATCAGTGGCTTCTCTGGAAATGGTTCAGAGCCAGCCCTGTTGGAGCCAGCAGAGCCCAGCTTCCTGTGTAAAAGAAACAAGGTAGAGCATTGTGTGAAAACAGCTGGTGGAGGGAAAGTGGTGGAATGAAGTGCTTGGCTTATTTTCTAGAGTCAACCTACTGGAGAGCCAAGAACTTAAAGCCCCATAGACCGCTCATTGGGCCGGAGTCACTGATTTTGCAGTCCTCCCCAGCCAGCTGATGAATGAGCCCCCACTTCATGCCCCCTGCTTGGCAACCTAGGTCCTTAGTGCTACTCACTCCTTGGGTCCAGTTTTCTGGAAGTTGTTCTCTTCCATGGCACAATGTGCTTCCCCAGTAGGATGTCTTTCCTTTGTTCTTGTGGTATGTCTACCTGTCTATCAAGAATATGAACTCAAAAAAAAAAAAAAGAAAGTCTGGAAAGGATCACATGTATCTGAAGAATGGAAGCAGAATCTAGGAAACAAAGTCCAGTTATACAAGGGAAGTCTCTGAAGTGACTTGTCGGTTTTTTTCCTACAGAGTGATTTGGCTACTACAGTAAGGGTGGGTATAATGGAGAGGGTGTCTGTGAGGGGACAGGAGGAATAGGGGAGTTTCTTTTCTATTTTTCTATGATTCTAAATCTTCTCTGAAAATAAGATTTATTAATTTTTGAAAAGTTTTTAGTTGGGGCGGGGAATACAGGTAATTGGTCCACACAGCACCACAAAATCAGCATGTTAAATTAAAATAAATTTGCAAACAAGAAAAAGTCAATAAAGAATGTCTATAGTCAGATATGAATAATAACAGAAGCCAACACTGTAGTGTTAAGAAAGTATGCAAAATTATTAAGTTCTTAGGAATATCAAACAATGAAGAGCATATACCTAATTTTTTAATGCTTCAAAACAATCAACATGTTCTAATGAACAGTATGTAAAAGAGACCCTGCTTTGCATTTGTACAGATGTTGTTTTCATCACTGCAAAACTTTACAAAGTTAAAATGTACCACATAAGAAACTGTAAATTGATTGCTTGAATGAAACTAACATGAAACTACTGCTGTCTGGTGTTAATCAGTCATGTCATCTCTTCTAGAAGTAGTCATCATATCCTGGGATGTCTTATTTCTACGCCATCGTATTATATAGCAACCACATTTTGTATTCAAATCATGAAAATGGGAAATATTTCAAAGTTAAAAGTGTATTAAGATGAACAAACTTAAATTTTTTTCTTACACTTTTTGCTATTGTTGGGGGTAATGACTCCTAGCAATTTTGTTGGTAATTCAGGCAAGACAGGCTTAGACCTCAGAGGATCACTGTGTGTTTGTACATGGCTGGAAAGTCTGGATTGGCTGCTTTGGTGTGTGTGTGTGTGTGTGTGTGTGTGTGTGTGTGTGTGTACTTGTGTGTGTTTTTGTTTCTTATTTTGTGTTTTTTAATACAAAATTCCTCTTCTTGGGGCTTATTCCTATGAAAGTCACCCAAGTATTTGCTAATTGTCTTGAAGTTTGCCATTTGCAGTAAAAATAGTAGGTCAAGATTTTTATTTTGGGAAATAGAGGTTAGTGGGTTGCCAGAGATCTTGGATACATAAGCAGCACAATACTTTTACTTTAATACTGCCAATTCTTAGCAGAGTTTGCTTAGGCAACACAAAAATGGAGGTGGTGGGGTGTCTGTGTTACACCTCTTTGGCTTCTTGCCCATTGGTTAGACACTTTACCCTTTAATGCCTGCACGGCTGCCATGGGAATCCCACCTCTGTTCTTGGCATGGTACCCCAACTCCCATGAAGATGCTGACAAGCAGGCTTAGGGTTCTCTGAGTCTGGACATCATTTGCATCTGCAGAGTCACCTGCTAGTCTAGGGCTAATCCCTGTGCTTGTGATTTTTAACCTTGTTTATACAGTAGAAGGGACTTAAGACTTTTTTAAAAAGTAAAACTTCCTAGGTTTTACCCCATGGAGATTCATATTGGATTATTCTTGGGTATGGCTGGGTTTCAACAGTGTTAAAAACCAACCTTGGCGATTTTATGCTGCATGCATGGCTGACAAAGCCTTCTCCAGAGTGACCATGTTTGCACTTGATAGACTTCAGGAATATATCGATTAACCCAAACAGCATGAATATTATGGCTTTCCAGACATTTCTAGTACATAGTAGTAAGTCAACAACATTTGTAAATATAAAAACAAAATAATTGGCGTAAAGTGTCATATTAGCACATGTAAACCAACCAAGTGTTGTATTATTGAGCATCTCTTACATTTACAAGGTTATATTGGCAATGACCTGAGAATGACAGGCATTTAAATTCTTCTAATAGTGATGAGCAGGTAGTACCTCCTATGTTAACAGTGGCCCAGAATCCACAACTCCTGCTCAGACCAGCACGAAGTGTAAGTACCACCCATCTTTTCTGCCTCCCAGGACTTGCCTAGCTCAGCTCTGCAATGAGGCTGCACACTCATCTCAGAGAAAAGAGACTGCTCCCCACACCACTGCTGAACCATTTTTAAGCAAATATTTCAATTTCAAATTTTGATTCTATTGCAGTTTTTCTAAATCATACAGTTCCCTTTTTTTTTTTTTTAGTTAAAAAATGAGTTTCCTAAAAAAATATACTTTACAAAGTTCAGTGCTACATAAAGAGGACAATATACTGAAAAGAGTTAGAAAAATGTATTTACATTTATAATTCCGTCTAAATGTGGCTTTAACAATACAAAGATGTTTGCTTCTGGAATGGCAGGTTTGGCTGGGAAAAGGAGGGGTTCTGCTCAGTTAAGGTTTTACAGCCCCCAAGCAAGGAAATGTAAACAGATCATTATGTGATAATACAAATACATGCTTATCAAAAGAAAGTAGAGATTAAGCAAATTTTAACATCTGCTTCTTAAGTGGGAACAGCTCATTCAGTGTGGGGGGTGGGAGGAGGTCGAGTTTTATGACTTGCTTCTCAGATAACACAAAATGTCCCAGTACTTTAGCAAGATGTCCCAGAACTTTAGCAAAGCTTAGCTTTAGATATCTGCCATTTTCAGGATAAAGGTTGTGCTGGGGGGAAAATAGGGGGCGGGGTGAGGTGGGGTGGATTTTGGAAAGGCCACACTTGCAGCCAAGAAGCAGGCGGAGCAATGATGGCAAGTTTTGGCTTTCTTGTGTCAGGGAGTCTCTCCTCTACCCAGCCTGTTATTCAACGGTGACTGTGAACAGGGCAGACAGTGGCAGGCCTGTACAAGTAATAAAGGTGGCACAGATAGGGACTTTGTCCCAGAATGGCTATTAGAATCGAAGCTGCGGTGCACCTCTGGGATTCTGACTGGATTAGACTGTGAGATCTGGGGAAATCTCTGTAAGCTCTCCAGGGAACTCTCACTGACAGTGAGGGTAGAAGCAAGGTCACCATGTACCAGCTTTGTCATAGACAGCTGTAATCAGAAGACCAGAAGAAGAGAATGAAGGTTAGCCGTCACTAGTGAGTGCTGAGGCTCCCTTTCTCAGTCTTTTCCCTCTCCAACAGTGGCTCTTAAAATTTTGGCATTTATTGTGATTTCCTGGGGTACTCTAAAAGTCCGTGGGCTTAAGAAGTATCAGGCTGAAATTTTCTACTGGCTGGAAACGTCTCATGGTAGCCCAGTCCAAGACGTAGTCTGTTAGTGTGTATGCAGTCCAGGGATCTTTCATGTCCACAGTTTGGGAGTGGGCGGGGATTCTAAAGCACCAAACAAAGCTTGTTCAACAAATGCTTACACTGTGTTACCGTTAGGTAGGATGCGATTCGGTGCCTCCGCAGGTGTTCTGTCTATAAAGTTCATAGCAGCAGGACTCACAGAATATTTAGGATTTAAGAGATTATTATTTGCCATCATGAGATAGAAAACAATTCTCGTAGGGTATAATGATAGGGACTCCTTGTATCTTTGTAGATCATATCTATAGTGTTTATGTTTATTGTAAGTACTAGCTTCCTATGTTTTTATTATATTATATTCATTCCTCGAATTGCTCAAGAATCAGGGTGAGTCAGGGAATAGGAAAAGTTCATCTAAATTTGGACTGAGAGATGGTTAGTGGAAAGATGTCCTGCAAGGTAAATGGTTCTGGTTATGATGGAAAAGTAAAGCTGAGGACTGCCAGAGATGCAATGGAATGAAGGTCCCAGGATGATGCCTCCCCCCTCTGTACCTTTCTTTTACATCAGTGGCTGCTAAGTTTCCCTTAAAGCAGTGGTTCTCAACCTTCCTTATGCTGTGACCCTTTAATCCAGTTCCTCATGTTGTGATGACCACCCCCACCATAAAATTATTTTCATTGCTACTTCACAACGGTTATGAATTGCAGTGTAAATATCTGTGTTTTCTGATGGTCTTAAGTGACCCCTGTGAAAGGGTCATTTGACTCCCCAAAAGGGTCTTTCCCCACAGGTTGAGAACCACTGCTCTAAAGGGTCTGCATTACAACTCTCATAACCCATGTCTCTCTGCACAGACACAGTGAGGACACGTTGGCAAACATAACCTTAACCCTGACAAAAACTAAATTTTATGCAGAATATTTAAATAATAAGAAAAGCAAGTCTCCATAGTTTTTGCTACTTTATTTTGTTATAAGAAAAGTGTTTCAAAGTACAAAAATACTAAGATTTCATTGCTACAATTTGACTGGCTTTCTACTTCTTTCCCTCACCAATCACCTGTCCCTGACAAGTAAGTGACAGGGTCATTTTGAACAAATACCTGCCTAAATGCTTCCTCTGCATTCTTGGTAGATAAGTAACCAACGTGGCATTTCCTGGCAATGGCGTGGGATTTCATATTCTAGAAATGTTGCTTAATTTTCTAACTATTTATCTTCCTAGATGACAACCTGACATTGCCAGGAGTAGACAACAGTTTGGAAACTCAGAGGAGACTTCAAGCTTCATTCCCAGGCTTGAGGGGGTAGCTCTATGATTGAGTTGGCCTCGCACCTGACTTACTAGTAGAGCTCTCCCGTCATTGCTCTCTGGGTTGAATTCTCTAAGGTAGCATATTTTCCATTTCCCTGGGGTTTAAGATCTTTTTTTTTTAATCTCAGAGAAAAATGGGCACTGTTATCTCCTGTGTGAAGTTTCTAGATCTTACACAGAATGTGTTCTCCCTGCTCTGTGCTCTTGGCACCTGGCTGATATGACTTATCTGGCCTTCATCAATTTCCTTTATGGTTAGTATTTATAAGTTCATTCCTATTCATCCCTTGATAAATGGAAAGGAATAGATACCAAGAGCATTCAAATACCAAGGACAGCTGTTAACTAATTGGACTGCAAAGACGAGGAAAGTAAGAGCAAACATTGAGACCATGAGTAGCTGGGTGCCCCGATGGCAGTGGGATTCCTTGGGGATGACTTTCTTCCCAAAAGCATCCATGGAAGCATTGTTGTCACTGTCAAACTCACAGTGCATGTTTGCCACTTGAGTTCCACTCGATTCTTAACTTTCTCCTTGGAAGCTTACCATGAGCTTAACCTGGGCTGTCATTTATTATATAGTAGCCTGGATAATGTTTCTCAAAGGGCAAGAAAATTTTGGTGGCAGCTTACCAGAGAGAAAAATACATCTCCAGTAAACACTTACAAAAACGAGGGGGAAAATCCCAAACATTATTCTCCATGTGTGGTTTATACTAATTTTAGGGTGTAGAGGGGTGAAGGTAAAGTGGATTTGAAGAGCACCATCACTTCTGTGGTCTCATGATACATGCATGCTTCAACAGATTTGATGCTGACTAAAAGTTTGGGTTATACTCCTCTACGAATTTTCGAATTGACACCTTAATTCAAAGCTTTTGGTTAGAACACCGATGGTTCAAATGTGCAATCATGGTTGTTCTTTGATAATACTGTTTTTTGTTGACTTCATGAAATCAAGATGGGAAAGCATGTTACAACTCAAAACAATGAAACAGAAAACATACAAGGAAGTCTTACAGTCAGAAAACACTAGTGTAGCTTAAGTACCAGGGACATATTTATACAAAAGTAAGTCTGAGGGAAAATTCTACCCCTTCATCCTCCTTCTTCCAGCCCCAGTAAGTAACAAAGTGGCTTATCCTATTGTACCTGCCATGATTTAATGCTGTACAAGTGTGGCCTGCTCAGGGCATGCCGGGCATCTTGTATATTCAGTTGTCTTGCCACAGAAGTGTCTTGAAGCAGAGCTGGTGTAATCAGCTGTCTGATCACAGTTGGTCCCCACCTACTCTGTGTAATACATACCACAAGCAAGCTTCTTCCTTCTTGGAAGTGCCCATGAATTAATCATATAAGGAAAATAAAAACCCGAAGGTCTCTATGCGGCAAATCTCCATACATATGTGTTTTTCCCATGCACCTCACAATGAGGTAAACTTCTGTTCCCATGGGTAACATTCCTGATGGGTGCGTTTTTTGCAGGATCTTCACAGTTTGAAGATCAAAAGACGCACCTCACCTTCCCATAGTGCATCAGGGGAGGGACCCACCTCTTGGCACAATGACAAAGCCCATCGAAGTTACAGTTTAAAACCAGTCTGCAGGTTTGGCATTTGGCACAAGATGGGCATGGCTGTCAGGAGTGGAGGCGCTCCCATGGATTGGTCCTGGGCTTCTGAAAAGTCTGGAAATTTTGTAGCTGGTACGATGCCCCTCCATGTCAGGCTCCAATAAACTCACTGCTTTGAGGTGCTACCCGTAGGTATTCTGCATTTTCAGCTGTGGGACCCTTATAGATGCCATTTGGCTTGGCTTCCTGGGGAAAGAAGTCCTGTTGGTAGTCAGGGTTGTCCAGGCTCATTTGGTGGCTGCCTTTTGGAGCCCAGAGGGCGGAGCTGTCAAACCCACCACTGACACAGATAGGCTGGGCAGTGTTGAGATACTCAGGGTTTCCCACTGCGTTGCTATGGGGATTTTGATAATGCAGGTCTCTGCCAGAAGCTGGATGCAGGGGCTGATTGTGATAGACAGGGTTCTGCACAGAGCCTGCTGGCCTTTTGGGGACACACTGGTTTATATATTCTGAAATGAAAAAGAAAGCACATGTGAGTTAGTAAAGCTTCATCCTAAGATTCCCAAAGCAGAATTTCATGGCTCTGAAGTCTCTGAGAACTCTGCAGATGTCTTCAGTGAGATAACTGACATCAGAAGGCAAGGAAGTTCTGGGAATACTATGGAGACTGCACAATAAATTGTGATATTTTTTGCTCTTTTCAAAGCAATGGTCATGTGTGGCTTTTGCAAATTTTTAAATTCAGGATGATGTGTAGGGTGGTGTGTGCGTGTGTGTGCGTGTGTGTGTGTGTGTGTGTGTGTGTGTGTGTGAAAGAGAGAGAAAAGACACATATATCTGTCTTTTATACATAGATATATACACAGAATATACATATATACATGAAAACCTTTGCTACTTGCTTCCAACCCAACAAATCTGCAAAAACCCCAGTTGTACCCTGCATTTGACACAGGCCTCCCAGCATGCTCGGTTGCCTCTGTTTCTTCTTCCCCCCTTTACCACATCTACAAATTTGCCAGTATCCACCTCTGGATGACTTGGAAAGAAACAACTGACTTGTGCCTGAGGAAATGAGAGCAGACACTAAGGCAATGACTGTTTCCTGAGCAAGCTACTCACCGGGCACAGGGAGAAATGTGTCATCTATGCTGTCCTCAGTTAAGGCACCTGTGGGGTCGGAGCTGTACCGCTGCAAGAAGCCATCTTCCTTGATACGACAGCTCTGCTGGAGAGAAAATTCAGCAAGATTAGTCCAGTGAGAATTGCTCACACTTTGTGATAGATTAACTTCACCTGTGGTCTCATTAAAAGGAATAGTCAAGCCCCATATGGTGGCACATGCCTGTGAATTCAGAGCTCTAGAGGCTGAGACATGAGGACCATGAGTTCAAGGCCATCTGAGCCACATAGTCAGAGTCTGTCGCAAACCCAGACAAAGTAGACTCAGTGGAGTCTGAGTCTGGGAAAGCAGATTTCTGAGAAGCTCCTGTTCCACTGCAGCTAAAGGCAGACAATGTCTTGATCAGTATGCCTAACAGACTATCATGCAGGGATGGAGATGCCTTGTAATCTGTGTTCCATCATAAGGCACATGTGGCCACTGAACACTTGGAATGTGTGATGAGTTGAATTTTATATTTTACTTCATGTTTTTAAGAATTTAATTAGTGGTGTAGTGACTTCAGGCACATAGAGCAGGCATTTGGTCATGTTCAGCGTGCCTGCAGGCTAGTGCTCACACTGGTGGCACACCCACAGATCCTTCTAGTAGGTCTGCTGGAGATCTGAACATCTTTATTCCTAATAGCTGTCAGGTGATGCTGATGCTGTCTGTCTATGAACCACATTTCCTGTGGTCATGTGATAAGTGATCATTAATTGCTGGCCTTAGGATTCCAGTCAAAGAAGCCACGGTGTAGAAATGGACGTTCAGGAAGGAAAGGTAGTATGGTATGGGAAGAAATGGGCACTTGCCCTGTGTAACCAGTTTATTTGATTCTGGCTTATAACATGTTCATACATACCCCATTTCTGTTGATGCAAGCCACAGTGGAGTTGTTGCTGGTTGCACTCTGGAAAACAAAACGAAACAAAACAAAACAGTGTTGCTCATGGTACACTGGTATACTCTCATCCATTTCCAGTGGATGTAGGAAGTAGGTCTCACAGAGTAGAAATATTTCAAGGTGTTTAATGCTTTGGATGGAAGCAAACGTTTTTTGGAGAAAAGAATTTTTTTTTTGTCTTGAATTATAGCTTTAGAGGTAACCAGGCAACAGAATAACTAAATAACTGTCCATCATGACGCTAGGTTCCATTTTGTTAAAAATCTATTTCTTTTTCTCCAAATATAATCTAGAAAATGGAAACTAAATCAATTTAAATCAGGTAACAGAGATAAGGGTGGGGGCATGTACCAGAGAACTCAAGAGGGGAGTCCGAGATGTGGATGGGCTGTTGAAGAAGCCTTGCTGTGGGATAAGGTACTCATCAGCATCAACCACATCTTCCATGTCCTCTTCATCCATCAGTGCTCGGTAAAAATTGGAGTCTGTAGGGCTCGGCAGGTGCATCCTTTCATCCCCCTGGAACAGAGATTTTGAGACCATTAGAAAGGGCAATGGGGGCGGCTCTTCTGCTTCCTGGCTATAGGAGTAAGGGTCTTTATCAACAGGTGCCTGCAGGTTTGTCAGTTTAGTTATAGTGCAACCTCTGTGGTTCTCAGATACACAGCTCTTTCCATATTAACATGTGGGTGTTTTGCAGTGTAATAAAACACACACATATCCCGAGTCCAACAGCCTGCCTATGAAAAACCACTTAAGAGAGAGGAAGGAAGAAGCAACAGGGACATTTCCTGTCCCCTACGCAATAGCATTTTTGTGTTTTGCATATATTATTTTACTGAAGCTTAAAATCCACAAAGTCAAATGATCTTGGTTTTGTTGTTTCAGAATTAGAAGTGGAAACAGGCTGATTGGTTGTACAAGGTGGCACAGGGATGAATACAGAGCCAGGGATGGAAGCCATGTGGGTTGACAGTGAAGTCTTGCTTCTTTGTTTAGCAAAGCCAGAGCTCTAATAGGTCAAAATATGAGATAACTGACATGTGAATCTGAAGAACAGGTTGGGTTCAGGTAGCACTGCTTAAATGGCATGGTGACTTGGAGCTGGGTGGAACCCACCACTTGTCTCCATGTAGTTCAGAATCTGTGTTGTACCTGAAGTAGCTCCAATACATAAAATGATTTATTTATAAGAAAATGCCCCACAGTGGCATCTGGAGGCCCTGAAGGGATTTTGACAATAGAATTGAAAACTGTGGTCTGGTACCTGGATAACTAGGTAGCGCTGGGGGTCCCGAGCCATTTTGGAGAATTCAACAATCAACTCTCGGAACTTTGGGCGGCTATCGGCATCTATCATCCAGCCTGAGAAAGAAATGAAGAACTCTCAGCCTAAACACGTAGGGGAGGGCCTAGGTCCTGCTCCAAATGATATGACAGATGTTGAAGATTATCCATGGAAGGCCTCACCCTCTCTGGGGAGCAGAAAGGGATGGGGGTTGGGAGGGGGACAGGGGAAGAGGGAAAGGTGAGGGAACTGGGATTGCCATGTAAATTTAAATAAAAAATATTATCAAAATAAAGAACAGCAGGGCAATTAGAACACTGGAAGAAATGATGAAGAGGGCATTGCTTAAAGCACTTATGCTGTGACCTTTCTAGGCAAATGAATGATGAAGTTATGTCATCTTGGGACTGACTTTTCAACATTGCCAACATGAGCTGACATTGGTTGGTTCTGAAAGTCTATGAGAAATTGTTGTTGCCTTTGGGGGTTGAACCCAGGGACTTGGGCATCCATCTCCAGCCCTAGACAATATTTTAAAGTCAGAGTACCATACCATGCTCTGATATTTCTACATTTGTCTCTTAGTCATCATGACCTACAGTGAGCACAGAACATTGCTGTGCAGTCACCACTACAGAACCATTGTGATTTGGCATGTCATTGTACCCTCATTGTCCCTACTCCACAGCCTTCCAGGCTGGAAACCAGGTTGAATTTAGAAAAACATCAGGGTCTTCTACAATCAGTTGCCATTCATACACACTGCAAGGTTTGACCCATGCCCTGTCATTTATTTTGCAATGCTGGGGACTGAATCTAAGGCTGCACAAAGCTAGTACCTTCTGTGTGAAGCTCTATTTAATAGCCACACTGGTGAATTGGATTACATAATGATCTAAATATAGATCCAGTGATGGGGATGATAAATTGTGAGCTAGAAATTTCTGTGCCTCTTGGGGATTCACTTTATTTTTTTCAACTGGATGTCAAACTATTTTAGGACAAATTGCTGTGTGACCTCTGACAAATCATGTAACCTTTTTGGACCTCAGCTTCCTCAGCCTAAACCAAAGCAGTGAAAACAGATCAACAATCTGGTCTAAAGTTCAGAGATACATTTTATTTATATTAGCCCAGCTGTGCTGTTTAGATTTTGTCAATTTGAAATAAGCTAGAGTAGTCTGTGAAGAGGAAAGTTTAAGTGAGGAAATGCCTCCATTAGACTGGCCTGTCAGCAACTCTGTGGGGACATTTCCTTGACTAATGAGTGATGTGGGAGGGTCCAGTCCACTGTGGGTGGCATCACCCCTAGGTTGGTGGTTTTCAGTTGTGTAGGAAAGCAGGCTGAATGAACCAGGGAGAGCAAGCCAGTGAGTAGTATCCCTCCGTGGTTTCTGCTTCAGTACCTATCTCCAGGTTCCTGATTTGAGCTGTTGCCCTGGCTTTCCTTGACAATTGACAGTAGGCTGTAGGCCAAAACAACATGTTCCTCTCCAAGTTGCTTTTGGTCAGTGTTTCATCACAGCAATGGAAAGCAAACTGAGACAATGACTCTGTCATATTCCTATGCTATGCTTTTATGCCAATGCCATCACATGTGGAATGTTATTTTCAGAGCTGAGCATACTTGTGGTATGTGTAGAATAATATCACTAATCCGAATGCACACTCCTATTGGGATTGAAATGATTAATTGCTATATTCCAGGAGACCTCATGTAAATCCAGTGTTTGATAGATTTAAGCCAGAGCCGAAATGTTGATTCTATCAAATTCCCATGGTTACTCATTGTTAGGCATTTAAAAACATTAAGTCTCTCTGGTAACAGGTCTCAAAATGTAAGGCAACTTTGTAAGGTCATTGAGCAACTCAGAGGATAGAATATTTTGGAATAATGGCTTATGAAAGACTTTAGTTTATTTGCTTGCAAATATGGGAAAATATGAGGTCAGGATGAGTCAAGCAAGTGATTCCTAAAGAATGTTTGCAGGAGGTGTTTATGATGTTTCTGGAATTGTGTGCCCGCCTGAAAGATTGATGGTGTTTCTTCAGGGAAACGAAAGCCTTGGATATTTGGCTAAGAGTCGTTATGTCCTTCCAAGCCCATTTATGAGAGTATGGGTGGTCGCCCCAGTCACTCACACTTGACCATGATCATGTAGACATCAATGGTGCAGATAGGTGGCTGTGGAAGGCGTTCTCCTTTCTCTAGGATGGAAGAGATCTCACTTGCAGGGATTCCATCATAAGGCTTGGACCCGAAGGTCATCAGTTCCCACACAGTGACTCCTGAGCAGACAGAGCAGGCAAGGGAAGTTATTGCTTCATGATCTTTAGTCATCATTGCTAAGTATTGAAAAACTCATGTTTCTGTAGCCTTGAGCCATTGGTTTGGATACTTTGGTCTGCCTATCAAGTAGAATAGCATCTGTTCCATTAGCATGGTTTCAAGGATCTAGTAAGGTCTTATTCATAAAATGTCTAGCCTAATGTGAGGCATATAGTTGCTGACTGATAAGTGGAATAGTTCAGTTATAACTTTAAAGATACGGACAGCTGTGGAATACGAGTTTGCCACAGAGCAAGGTCCATCCTCTTACCCAGCTGCCCTGAGTGCCTTTATACTCACAGTAGTGGAAATAAGGACTGAATGCATATGGCTGTAAACTGCAAAGCATTTTATATATAATGTTATTTGTCCTGTAACTAATACAGTCTGATATATCTGTTTCCATAGGAGATGTTCAGGCAGCCTGAATTTGTGCTTCTTGGTGATGACCACCCATGTCTGGTTCATAATAAACCCTCCCTTATTCTCTTCGAGGTGAGAGTTGTATTTCATAATGATAGTGTTTCCCAACCTTTCCATGAATTGCTGGGGGCAAATTCAAGGGTCAAGTGCCTGACACAACAACCAAGGGCATTACTCGTGAGGCCACAAGTAACAGGGAGGATGTGCAAGGCAGGCTTGCCAAGAGTGGTCACACTGTGCAGATGCAGCATAATCCTGTGCATGGCTGCGCTCTACTTAGAAGAATTGGGCCGTGGTGAGGTGGGTTCTTTCTTGCGCACAAGCAGTAACTGTTTTCCTGTTCTCGTTTACTTCCTACAGTTATCTGTATGGTTCACCCTTGCCAAGCTTCATTTGTTGCCTAGCTTTAGTTCCTGCCAAGTCCAGAGCAAGAGCTTATATTTGTTTGACTCCTGTAGGCAGAGGCTTAACCTACATTCTGGTCCTCTTCCCCCTATGACCCTCCCTTCAGCATGAATTCATGGCTGTCTCTAGTGATACTTGGTGTGTTGGTTAAGCTTCATTTCTGTTGTCAGGTTCTCTTAGTACAGTAGATAGACAACAACTCACTGTCTTGAAAGGTAACACTTGCATGTCAGAGCATATAATGTCAATTAACAAATAATAAGAACCAGCTTAATCTTAGTACAAATTCATTAGCATTAGAGTTTTGACTTACCATAGCTCCAGACATCACTTTGGTGTGTATAAATCCGGTGTAAAATTGATTCCAAAGCCATCCACTTGATAGGCACCTTGGGACGATGTGAATAAAGCAGCAATAAAATGATTAGTTCACAGAAGAAAAAAAATCTTGTCACTGTAGGTGTAATTTCAAATGACTAATGTGGAAACCCAGGTGACCTCCCTGCCAGGCTCCTTCTCAGTAGGGGGGGGGCAGGTTAAATATAGGAGACAACAGGTGGGTCCCAGAGCCACTTCCTGAAAGCTGTAGTTGAGGGCATTTGGGGCAATGGGCTATTCTGATGAACTAAGGCTGTGGTATTTCCCTGCAGCCCTAGCTTCCAGACTTTGGTTATGTTTTCAATAACCAAGTTCATGCTTGGTTTCAATAACCAAGGCTGACATGCTATTTAGAGCCATGTTGTCATCAGGATCAGAGGGTTGTAGTTAGGGAGGGCTGGGGGCCGTCTGGGGGGGGTTCTGGTAGGGCTGTGCACCTCCCCCCACTGCTGTGACAAGGCCCTGAAGGAACGAAAAACAATACTAGGGAAGATAGCTAGCCCCCTCACTGCCAGTCCCTAGCATGAGTCACATGGACTCACCGGAACTCCCAGAACAACACAGCTTATTGAATATGAGTCTCAAGAGAGGGTACTACTAAATTAGCTGTGATATTTCCCAGCTGGTCTTTTGAAGGGTGTTTTCCTCCTGGAGAAGGGAGTTGAACTCAACAGTTGTTAATACGTCACCTAGTGATGGGAGCTTGCTCTCTCTGGCCTCTGGGGGTGGGGAGTCTCCCTCTTCACTACCTCTCCCACCAAACTTCACTCACAAAGTAGAGGATGACCCTGACTAGACCCCGGGTTATAGTGGCAGCTGCTGGGACCTCACTCAGAGTGTTTGGCAAATGCTGCCCACAAGCTGACAAGTAGGGGGATGGGTCTGGTTGTCAGGGAAATACTTCTCGATCTACTATCAGGTCTTACTTTGCCTCCCTCCGCATGGTATTCTTTCTCCTCAGCACCAAGCAGTTTGGCCAGCCCAAAATCTGTGATCTTGACATGCTGTGGTGTCTTCACCAGTACATTCCTGGCTGCCAAATCACGGTGTACCAAGCGCCGATCTTCCAGATAGTTCATGCCCTGAAACACAGAGGGCCCTGCGATGAGGGAACGAACCATCCAGAGGATTCTCGGTGTTGTGGGAATGTGGTGTTCATACTCCTGAACTCAAGGTGAAGTCTACAAGAATCCCTGGGCTGCTCCACATCAGGGAATATATTGTTAGCCTTCACTCTTTGTTGCAGTTGATAAACATTAGTGATTATCATGAATGAATGACAAGTGAAGGGAGCTATAACCAACCACATGTGATCAGGGACCTTCCACCAGCCAGATACTCAAAGTACATGGAGAAGAGGCCAGGGTGCAGTAAGATACAACTGTTGGGTACAGACCTAAGGTGTCTGCTTCTAGTACAGCTTCCTACCCAGAGCCCTTTGGAGGCTCATGCATCAGCTCTCTCATTTTAAGGGGGCTAATGCAAATCTCGCTAGACCATGGCAAAACAGGATTCTTTGGTGGAATTCAGGCATACTTTTGTCATTTTCCTTGGGCTGTCTTCTGTGAATCACTGCCAACAAAGACAGTTTGCCCATCTTTACTTTCCAGTGTTTTTTGTTTTTAACTAAAAGGACATGGGTGTTGAATATATTTTACAAGACACCATCTTTTTACCACCTCCTTGGCTGCTCAGTATTCTGTTGCAGTTGAAATCACTGATATAATAGCAATAGAGAAATAATGCTTGAGATGTAGCTAGCAGGCTGGCGCACAATGAATTCCCATCTCCCACTTCCCATCAGACTTATGCTTTATAAACTCTCCTGTACAGAGCTTACTGATGGGAGATGCTGTTATGTATATGTTTCTCATACTGGTTAATGAATAAAGCACTGTTGGCCAATAGGAAAGAAAGATAGGAGGGACTAGGAGACAAGGAAAGAGGAAGTAGTGGGGAGGAGTCAAGATGGAGAGACTGGGGAGATGAGACGCTGGCCCCTTTCCCTGGTAAGAAGACCACGTGGAAATATTAGATTAACAGAAATGGGTTAATACTTAAGACAGAGCTAGGCGATAAGAAACAAGTAACGGGCCAACAGAATTATATCAAATACAGAGTCTCAGTGTTACTTGGGGCTGGCATGGCGGCTGGACAAGACTGGCAGCGGGCAGAAAAACCTTACTCCTTACAGCTTACCTAGAGCAGGGCTTGCTGAGGATGCCGTGGAAATAAGTGAGACTTTAACAGACTCTTTGAGTCACAGTGTGTTCGCCATGGTGGGTGCACCTCCACTCTAGTGCATTGTCAGAGTACACCTATCACCCCCTAAACATCCAGGCAAAGTCTCTGCTTGTTTTCCCACAGATTCTCACATAAAAGATCATTGCTGATTTAGCCTATCAGAATGAAATTATGTACTTTTTGAGGGCAGAACCAGCCATCTCAAGAAAGTAGATGCTATCAGAAACTCAGCTTTGGGTTTGGAAACCCTTGATGCCTTTTTTCCTTGGGAAATACAATCACTGTCCATGTCTTGTGAACAAGAACTATCCCACACCCTATCATATTATTTAGGAGATTCCTACGTATTTTAGGTGCTGTTCAGCTTATGTGTTTCTTATTGAAGATTTGCATGTGCAAGGATATGAGAGCGAGGAGTCCCCGCATCTACGCAAGAGGAAAAGGGAAGAAGCCTTTTCTGGATTAGTACTTCCAAGTTAGGAATCACTGTGGGATGGGGCTGAAAGGACAGGGAGGAGCAGAAGCCAGAGAAACATTTCCAAACACACAACTCACTTTATCTGCCCCTTTCGCTTTTTTGATTGTACTTTAGAGACTGCCTCCTTCCTCAGCTCCATCCACTGCTGTGATTTATGGAACTGTAGCTGTTCTGGTCTTTGGTGCCCCTGTGTCTTATAAGAGTAAGGATTCAACATACTAAATATGATGCACTTTTCCCCACTAGAAAAGGAGTGACAACACTTGACCTGTCTGGGTAGAATGTTCTTACTTGTTTTCTCCCCACCCCTCCTCTCTGTCCCCTCTTGCCTTCCCTGCCTCTTTTCTCTTCTAGCCTGTCCTCCATCCTTACCCTCTCTTACCTTTGCTGTCTTCTATTCTCCTCCACCATGTCTCCTACTCATTCTTTACACCAGGAATTAGTACGGGAATGTTGCACAGGCTTAAAGTGATGAGTCACATACTAGTTTGTATGCCGAGGACCAGTCACCCGCTCTCCTCCTCTGCCTCTGTCTAAAACTTCTTGTTTTTTGTCCATTTATTAAACTCACAAGGAGAACTTGAGAGGGCATTTCAAACTCCACACAACTACCTGTATTAACTTTTATTTTGCTGCTTTAAATGATTAAGAGAGAGCCAGGTGTGGTGGTGCATTCCTTAGTCAACACTTCACAGGTAGTGCCAGGAAGATCAGGGGTCCAAGGCTACCCTTGAAGCCAAGGTCAGCCTGGTATGTATGAGACTCTGTCTGAAACAACAGTAAGATGCTCAACCTGGATTTGGTTCATGGGACACAATTTCGAGTACTTGTTAATGGATGATAGCAGCAGTGTCAAATACTGAGGATGCACCAACTACACCATAGTGCAGCAGCCTCTCTGGTTACCTACAGGGATACTGGCTAGAGACCTAGAACAGGCTGCTTCTCAGACAAGTCCCCCATCCCCAGACACCATGGAGATCGGTCCTAATTTCTCCTGCTGTGGTCTGTGAATGAAACTTGCTGGCTGGGCCAAAGCTGCCTATGCTATCAAAATCAAAACAACAAAAATCTAGTACTTGGTGGTGTGTCAAGAACTCCCTGTCATTGTGTGAGTGATAAAGCCATGGGGCCTGCTGGCTCATCACACCCACAGGCTCAGGGCTTTAAAGGAGCATCATAGCTTTACTGTAAACACATATTTCCTCAGAAGAGTCTAGGAAAAGCCAGAACAGAGTGCCCACATGCTCTGAGATACACAAGTCAAGTAAACTGGGGACAGAGAGATTAAATCCATCGGAACATAGACAAAAGTCCATCCACTTCGCTCTGGCCCACACTTTCAAGGCAGCTGGAGAGGCCATCTGAGAACCCAACAGGGTTATACTTTAACAGGTCACTGTAGATAAGAGCTGTGATACTGCTTATGAACTCTCAGAATCTAAATAGTAATATCAGCACTGGCTCCCATGGGGCCTCTTGGGACGACCATTTCCTGGTTCTTCTTTTTACTTAATTGAGTTTAACATACTTATTTTTGTTTAGTTGCTACACTACAGAAAGATTTTGTTTTGTTTTTTTTTTTTTAAAGCTGAAGTTAAAAAACTAACTAGAAGAGCCACACTGGAACTATAGCTTAAAAGGGCTGACCTAGTTGTATGCTTCACAAGGATATCAAAGGTCTCTATGGAACACGGCCCCACAAAACAAGAAAGGGCTGGGAGTACAGAGTGACGTTTAAAGACCAATTTCCCAAGGGTTGTACATCCCACATGTCTTGGGCAAAGTTCAGAGAGGCTAGAGCAGGATCCATTTCTGTTCTGCCTTAGAAACCATGATAAGGATAATCCCAGACTTAGTGGCCCCCACACTTTCCTGTGCAAGGAGGGAGCAGAGCTGGGAGACAGCTGGACAGTGTTTCTGAGCTTTAGCATCAAGTGCAGGAAAAGAATGTGGACATGCAAGCAAGTGTGCATGCTGCTAATCGCTCGTTTTGATACTTGCGGTACTTTGGCGAATGTGCTTTTCACATTTACACTGTAAAAGTATCAGTTTATGTTGACAGCTTAAATTTAATCATAATGTCTTAGGATTAAGGATGGAAGACAAGATTTAACATAGTTAAAAGAAAGCTAATATTTGGTCCTTTTAGCATGGATACTGTTGTAGTGTTTAGGGTCATTTATGAGGTGTGTGTGTGTGTGTGTGTGTGTGTGTGTGTGTGTGTGTGTGTGTGTGTTTTGAAGGCAAATGGATTTTAATAGCCCTTCTTTCTGTGGGCAGGAGTAGTGGGTGCATTGGACCACTCTCCAGTTTGATGTTGCCAATCACTGAGATGGGAAGTCCACCCAAATGCTAAAGCACAATCCTCCTCTGAAGCCTGCAGGCTTAAGCAGCTCATTCCAGTAAGTGGAAGCTTGCAGTAAACTTTGGAGTGAGGAGGAGCTTGAGAGACTCCCTAGCTCTCTCTAACTTATTCTTCCAGAACTCCACAGGTTCTATGTAGAGACGAGCAACAATTTTGGCCATAAATGGCAAGGAGAGTATAATTTTCTTATAGTCTTTCAATCCTATACTGGTTTCTTCCATAACTGCTTCCTCGTTCTCTCTATCTTTCCCTCCCTCACATCCTTCATTGTAAGTTTCTTGGCAGTTTAGCTCAGACAATGACCCAATATCTAGAAAACTTTTGAAGCTGGTCAATACTTCTGTGGGTTGATGGAGGTTTTTGTGAGTCAGTAGATCAGACTTTGAAATGTTAGGACTTCAGTTTGTGCTCAGCTACTGAATGCCTCTGTGAAGTTTTCTTTGCTCTTGTAAAAGGAAAATTGTTAATATTGAGATGTGTTGCCACTAATGCCACTGATTACTCAGGAAAACACTATGCTTCTTCCCTTCAGGGGTGTGTGGTCCACCACTTGGCTAGTGCAATGTGGCACAGTAACGTTTCCTTATGCGTTCCCAAGCAGGAGTACCACAGACCAAGAGTGTATTGTCCCAAACATAGAAAGACTTGCAATCAGAATAATAAAAAGTATAATGGCACAACTGTGGCTTTAAATAACAGGCTTATATTATGACAAATATTATATATAAGACTATCTTAAGAGCTAGTCGAACCTCAGAAACATTGGCGGCTCATGCTTGAGTGGTACCCACACAATGCAGAATTGCTATCTGTGGTAGGCTCTATCATCATGCTTTCAGATGTCACTCAAACTTCCCATGTAAATGTGAAGGTTCAGGGAGAGGGAGATAAAAGCTCAAAAGCAGAGACAGGAAAGCATGGGCTAGTAGATGCTATTTTCAAGTAAAGTCAAACTGATAGACATCTAGATGCAAACAACACATCAGGTTACAGTTAGATTGATTACAGTCACTGCTGTCCTTGTTTAGACAGAGGGAGAAGAGAAGAAAGAAGGAGCATTCAGTGGGCAGCAGATGTGCACTGGAACCCAGGGTAGGTGACAGGCTGGCTGTTCTCTATCCTACCATATAAGAAGATGGGTGACAGAGCACATTGCCACTCAGCAGCTGAAGAAGACTGAGCAGATTACCCCACTTACCCAACTCATGAATGCCAGAATCAAGACTTTATAGTTTACTGAAAAGGCAATTCTCTTTTGGTTTGGGCAAAAGTCATACAGACTGTCAAGGTAAAAGGATGATGTTATCATTACAGTCTCATTGGTCCATTTGCCAACCTGAAGGGTTTCTGCCAACCTGGAGGGTGTGTGTGTGTGTGTGTGTGTGTGTGTGTGTGTGTGTGCTCACACGTGAGTGATGGAATCCAGGGTCTTGTACATGTTAGGCAGGAATTCTATACTGAGCTATGCCACATCCTTAAGAAGACCAATTTTGTGGTAGCTGAAATGCTAAATCTCTGGGAGAATAGAAATCTGGTAGCCCTGCCCCTTCTGGGGATGCAGTGGGGGAAAGCAGCCACAAACTCAAGAAAAAAAACCACATCTTCCCATGTGGAAATTAAGGGAGCAGAGTAAACAAAGAGGCCACTTGAGGAAGCAATGCATCATGTCTTGCTTCAGGGAATCTTGGAGGAAAATGTAAGAGAGAGAATTCCAGGGTTTGGGAGTGAGGACTCGGGTAGGTCTTTGGAAACCATCCTACATCTAGTGAAAGCTATTCTGGGTTAGGCAGAGCTCAGCTACTGAAGTGGAGATTGAACAGTGTCCCCCAAATTTCACATCTTTCTAGAACTACAGAGTGGAACTTTATTTGGAAACAGGATTTGGAAAGTCTAATTACTTAATGATGTTGAAGTGCAACAACCAGGATTTAGGATGAGCTCTATGTCCAATGATTGGCACCTCTTTTCTGTATATATTTATGGGCTACAACTTGATGTTTCTGTGAGTGTACCTGATGTGGAGAAAACGAGACAAGCTGAATAGCATAGCCATAACCTCATCTCTTTGTGGTGAGGATATTTAAAATCTGCTGACTTAGTGTTTATACTAATCTGCTGTCCAGTGACTGCATCTATATGTGAAAATAAAGGGCCATCTGGACACAGAGACAGGGAAAAAAGCCAGATGAAGACAGGAGCAGAGAATACGGTGAAGCTGCCACAGACTAAGGCATGCTGGGGACACCAGAGGCTCAGAGAAGCAAGTCACCAGCCTCCCAAGAGCCTTTAAAGCCAGTGCCTCTCAGAAATCCTGATGCTGGACTGCTGGCCTCCAGAAATATGAGGGGAAAAGCTTTTTTTTTTTTTTTAATATGGCACCAAATCTGTAGGACTTTATTGTGGCAATACAAAGAAACCACACGCAAGTAACAAGCATTTAGCAGCAACAGAAATCCATAGCAACTCAGACACACATGACCTTGTTCTAGAAATACTCTCTAACAGTCATCACTTAACTCATATATCCTATTCAGAGCATGAAGAATGGGAATTGGCAGCAGCCAAAGCCTATGGCCATCCTAGCTAGAGAGGAATGAGTGGCTGAGACATCTTCTCAGATGACACAATAAAAGACATATTGCATTCTGGATCAACGGGGAGGGGACTGATGTTTTTCCAGCATGGCCCAGAGTTTCATACCAGGGAGCAGGCCTCATCCTTTGCCACAGCTCTCAGAAAGAGTTGGTCTTGTGTCACACGTTCATGAACTTATGTGTCCCTAGATGGGTGAGGCAATTTCAGCACACCTTCCTATATGCCAGGAGCAGCTGCCACCTTGAGCAGGGCCTATAGACAGTAAGAAATGGCCCAGATCTGGGAGCCCATTTGCCTCTGCTCCTGTGGCTCCTTGCACACCCTTCAACAACTTACTCAACTGTCAGAAGAGGATGGGAGTGGTGACATATACTTAGAGACCAGAATATACCACAATTTCCTCTAATTCAGCCATGTAAAAATGTGCTATTACCATTAGAAAACAAACCAAACTTTCCAAGTTTGGTGCCAAGATATTACGCAGGGCTGAGGTTGACATGGGAGAAATTTGAGATGAAAGTCTGAATCCTTTAGAAGCCCATGAGAGTTAAATGTTTGGTCTGTTGTTCTGTGCTCATCTTCAGTTTGTGGGAATGGAGGTGATGTGTGCTCCCTCAGCCACTCTCTGGCTTTGGTCTATGCCTGTGGTGGGGAATGCTGAAGTAGCCCTTCTGCTGGTCTCATTAGACATGAGTGTATGCCAGAAAAACTACTCGTAACACGAGTATCAGGCTTTATGCTAGCCCTTGCCTGCCATCTGCCCACATGTCCAAACCATCTCCATCTTTTTTGTTGTTGTTCTTGTTTTTAGAGACAGGATTTCTTCGAGAAACAGACCTGGCTGTCCTGGAACTCACTCTGTAGACCAGGCTGGACTAGAACTCACAGAGATCTATCTGCCTCTGCCTCCCAAGTGTTGGGATTAAAGGCCCATGCCACCACTGCCTGGCCAGAGTGCTTTTGTATGTGCTCTTAGTAATGATCACTGTCACTCTTGGAAGACCAGGACAGAGTACAGCAGGTCAAGGCACTTTGTATTACATGGGAACATTGACCCTGCTTCCTAAAGCCTGCCACTGGCTTCTCATTTGCCACAAGCTCCTCTTGTGCTTACCTTTGCAATCTGCACACACCAGTTGAGTAGGTACTGAGAGCCAATGTTGTCCTTGTGCTCTCGTACATAGTCCAGGAGGCATCCATAGGGCATCAGCTGTGTGATGAGCTGCACAGTGGAGGTCAGACAGATGCCCAGGAGGCGGCATACATGAGGGTTGTCCACACTGGCCATCACGTAGGCTTCCTGTAAGGCAAGGACAACAGATGTATTACAATTGCTTCGTGGCAGTGACTGATGGGAGAGATACATGGATCCCTTTCCAGGTAAAAAAGAATGACTTTGTTTTGCATTTCAAACTGTGCACTCTGTACATACAAGTGTCAGGGACATTTATGTGAGGCTCTGAAATGCCACTACACTGAGGGAGGCAGACTCTCTGTAGGTGTTGCATGTTGGAGGTCTGCTTGACAAGAAAAGACCCAAATGGAATTTGCTGTTAACAACGCATTGATGAAAAGGGATCCAAGCCATCCTGATATGTCAGAGTTTAGGGACTGCTAGTAGCTTCCTTGAGGTGACCCTCCACTCTACACCCTATGGCTAATGATGCTGTTTGGGTTTGGATTTCAGTGTGTCTTGGACAATGACTTGCTCACTTCATCAGAAGCCCTGGTCACAGGTACTGTAGAGACCCTATTTTGCAGAAGAGATCCCTGAGCCAGCAGGCAGTCTAGAGGAAGATCTCCCTCTCAACAAAGCAGACTTGATTCAGACTAAATGGTGGGAAGGCATTTGGGTCATGAAACCTGCCCACCACACCCCTGAAAAGATCAACTGGAGAAGTGCTTTCAGTGTTCCAGTCCCAGCCTCTGAAGTGGACAGTCATGCATCAGGATGCATATATATATATTCCAGAAACATCCACGTATACCCCCCTACACTCACACATGTATGCTGCAGTATACAAATCTCTTTTACATTCTCTTTCCATTGCCTGGCCTAAATTTAAACTGGAAAGTATATGGAAAAATTATTAGGCCGTGGGATTGCCAGAAAAGCACGAATCACGTCTCTCCTCTGGGTCTGGGAAGCTGTACAATCATAACAGCACAGAAATCCTCTGGCTGTGCCTATTTTCTCAAGATGTGTTTGAGATTTGGGCACATATTGTATTCATTTTAGAGGGAGAGAAAAACATCTGCAAAGTGGAGCAGTTTGAGAAGCTCAACTGCCATAGGCTGACCATGACTGGGACAGGAACAGAGCAGGGGGCGTGGGTGTCAGGCCACACAGAGCCTGGAGCCCTGCCAGTTGGTCCTGCTAAAATGTGATAGACAAACAGAGCTGGGCTGTCACTTCCTGCCCACACTCAGCACAATGGGAGTGTTGTGTAGTCGTGTGTGCACGTTAAAGTGAGCTTTGTTCTTCCCTGTTTATGTTGGAAGTTGGGAAGGTGCGTTGTGACCCGCAGCAAATATGCCTGGTATCCCTCAACACAACAGTCTCTGAACCAGCTGCAAGCAGGCAGGGAGACCCTGATGGCATCTGTCCCAGTCCCACTGCAGGGCGGTCTGTCCCTGAGGCTTTGGTGACCCTGAAAAGCCATTATTCGTCTGTATTGTTGATATGACATTTGGATCCTTCCTTGCTGTCTCACTCATCTCTGAATTATCTGTTGTGAATGAGGGCAAAGGGTTCCAGGAGATGGATGCTACATTCCTTGAGAAGCCTAAGTCTGAAGTTGAAAGTGAATGGTAGCAGGTCTGCGAGATGGTTCAGTGTAACGGTGCTAGCTGTGGAAACCTGATGACTCAAGTGTAGTCCCTGGAGCCCATGGCCTGTGTAGAGGCATAAGGAGAGAACCAATGCCACAAGTCATCTTTTGACCTCCTCACACGTGCCGTGAAACATACATCTCAGGGCATTCCATTACTATGTGCACATGCATATGAGCTCATGAGTGTGTATACATGTGCTCATGCATACACACACACACACACACACACACACACACACACACACAAACTCACATACACATAACCAGTTTTAAGAAAAGTGAAAGGGTGGGACCCCTGACATTTAAAAATCTTTACCACTTGATTACATTACTAAAGGCGCCATGACAGGGGAGCTGGACCACAGAGTATGGGGTTACTGGAACCATTTATAAGTGCATGTCAGTCTTTAAAAATACGTTCATAGTGGGCTGTTCTTGTGGCAATGCTGACTGATGTTATGCTTAGTGCCCTGTTGAAATTGGCCTTAGAACCACAGGCCGTGCTTCCTTCAGCAGAAATCAGTCCCTCAGTGCCCTCGCCCTCACTGAGCTTTCCAGCAACAGCATACGGGCCTGCACAGAAGATGTTCTGAGTGTCTGGCAGTTGCAGCCTCATGACAAGCAACCAGGAAGGCCTCAAGGCTATCATGCACTACCTGCCACAGCCACAACAGCGGGCACACAAGGACAAGACCAAAGGTTACAAAAGTGAAGCTGCAAGGGCAATGGAGAGAGGAAGGGGTCCAGGAGCAGGAGTGGGGCAGGGTCCTTCTGACGACGGGTGTACTTGACTTCTATGCCTGCAATATAGTCACCTCTAAGCACCCCCGTCCCACCCCAAGCACATCTCCTGCCTCCTTTGTGGACCATAGCTGTCATTCAGAATATTTCCAAACTGTAAGCTGTCCCTATATTATTGCCTATAAACACTGCTCAAATCCACATTATTGGTATAATTTCTTAGTGCATCCATAATGAATTAAAGCACCAGCTAAGGAATCAAGGTTGACAAAATGATTTGTTTTTAACAAGGATAACTGATAGTCTATAAGTAAAAAGCCTTCTCAAGCCACTGTCCTCCTGGTTATATGAATAAGACTTGGCACTGATTCATAAGCTTTAAAATGAAAGATGATTTTGCTTGACAGGTGTATTGTCAGCATGCACGATTCTCTATGACACTGCATTCATGTACCATCTTTCACAGGAATGGGCAGCGTGGGCTTCCCTAAGCTTTCCTCTTTTCTTTTCAACCTTGTGTCTTAAAATAAGAATGATTTTCAACATCTTATTGGGAGCCCTGGCTGTACCGAAGTGGACCCTATCCAATTCCAAGATGGTCTCTTTGTATTATCCCCTTTATAGTTGGGTTCAGCCCCATCGTGAGCTAAGGATAGGAGAAGTAGGGGGGGGATTCAGTAGAATTCAAAGCAAGAAGATGCTCTCATAGAATGCCCTAATGTCTCCAGAAAGTGACAGACAGCAACAAGGGAGATGACAGTTAAATTAGTTGGGAGAGGTCTCAGAAGGTGGGGTGACAGTCTGGAGGCTTCACACTGTTGATCTCTGGCATCTTTATAAAAAGCCATTGCAAAGATGTGCAGACTCAGCAAAGGAACATGAATGCTCATTTCCGACATTGTGACTCACTTCAAACCTCAGCCATAGAAATCTGAGCAGTCTATGCCTCCATTCCCTCTGTAAAATCTGGGCTGTGGGTGCATCCTGCAGTCACTGTGGTAGCTAATACACACTAAGACATTAGCATCAAGATTGGCCCTGGGAGAAGTATGGTGATTCCAAACTTTGATTCTTTGGGGTGTAGGGGTAAGGTGAGGCTTAGAGAAACTGTATTTTCTGTATCAGGAAGGATGAGAAGACATGAAAACTGAATGTTTATGATGTAGTGATGGAAACCATTTAAAATCAAGCAGGAAGAAGAAGAAGTACTTTCTAAGATCCAGAAAGTGTGGGAAGCTTGACATAAAAAGGGACTCACGTCAAGGATTTCCTTGTTGGCTTTTGGAGATGTGGCTTCTCTTAACTCCTTGATGGCTACAGGAATTTTCACTTTCTCCCCTTCTGGAATCCAGAGACCCTGAGATGAAGACCAAGGCTGATGTTAACCCGAAATCATCATGCCAAGCAACATGTTACCTTGTGACTCTAATCTTCAAGGGCCCTGTATTGCAAAATCAGCAGTGCTGGGATTCATTATATCTTAGAGGTTCTTAGCTATCAGGCTCTAAGAATTAGAATAATATAGGTTAAAACAAACAAATACCACTCCATATCAGAGAAGTCTTTCATTATATAACTTGACACAATGCAGAATCAACTGGGAATATTTAGGGGGGGGGGCAGAAAAATTGTTAAAAGCCAGAAAACCAGAAAGTCTGATGTGAAAGTTTTTCCCCCTAGAAATGGATGCATAAAAAAAGGAATATAGCAGTATCAATAGACATGCTAAGGGTGAAAATGTCATGGAATCCCATCTCCAGAGAAAGAATGATAGGTAGGTAATGACTTCTGAGAGAAGAATTAGCTTCTTCCAGAGATGAGTTCCCTTATTGGTTGTCCAATGCAGAGAGATCAGCCTTGAAACCATATACACACAAATAACAAAAATGGAGGCATATGGTTGTATTTACATATTTGTCTCTCTATATGGGTATACACACATATATATTTGTATTTAACAACAATAATAAAAAAGGAGCTATGAACTTGAGAGTAAGAGTCATGGAGAAGGTAGAGAAAGGGTGCCTGAGAGGGGAGAAAGTGATGTAATTATATTTTAATTATTTAAAACAAACATTCATATAAAACTTCCAAAGGGTTTAATGGCCCACATCTGCAATCCCAGCACCATTGCAAGATGATTGAATTTAAGCTCTGTCTGGGATATATAGTAAGAGCCTATCTGAAAAAAAAAACTAAGAACAAAGCAAAATGAAATCTCTGCTTGAGCTGCTTCGGATGAGGACTGTCTTCCGTGGTCTTGGATATTTGAATATGGGTTCCCAGCTGATGCCACTATCTGGAGAATTGTAGGTATGGCACCCTCTCTGGAGCAAGCACATTATTGCAGGTGTGATATGAGATTACAATTCTCACACCATTTCCAGTTTGTTCTCAGTGCTTTGTGCTTGCATCTGAAGATGTTAGTACTCATCTCCTTGCTTCTGTCATCAAGCCTACAACTTGTGGCCATGCTTCCCTGCCATTATGGACTTTAACCCTCTGAATCCGTAAGCTAAAATAAAGTCTTCTATAAGTTTCCTTGGTCATTGTAATCATCATAGCGATAGAGAAGCCAATATAGCTAGTTATAAGGGCAGTATGGATCATTCAGAATTCTAACTGGAGTCAGACATTATAAAAAATAGTTCTAGAAAAAGCAGATTGAGATGTTCATTATATGGTCTATTCTGACAGTTCAAAAAAAATGCAAGAGCTATGTTTCTACCTGCTCCACTCCCGACCAATGCCTCTATAGTGGGCAACAACATCTATGAAAATGTTTTGGTCTCACATTGCTAACAAAAAAATTCTTTTCAATAGCCTGGAGTAACACTGCAATATCTATACCTTCAGCAAAACAGACAGATGTTGATTTAGTCACCAAAATGCTGAGGAATCTGATTTACCCACCCAGGGTTGGAGAACATGGCAAACACTAGTTCACAGGGCTAGCAAAGACCTGTATGTTTCCAGGGATGTTACCTTATACACTGTGCCAAATGCTCCGGAACCCAGAACTTTGATCTTTTTGAATTCTGTTTCCTTTAAGATCCTTAAGAGGGCTTGGTTGGGAGCTTCTCCGCTGGGTGTGAGAGGTTCCACAAGCTGCAAAGGAGAAGGGAGCAGAGCTGAACTTCTAGCTCTGCATTCCACAATACGTGACAAGCAAGGTAGATGCATTGAGAGCAAGAGTGGCCAGCAGCCAACAGCATGTTGACATGCCTTAGTACAAAACACTCAACACACATGTCCAAAAGGAGCATGCACCTTTTCCTCGGAACTTAGTAATATACAGGAGAAACCCAGGTCCTCTGATATAGCTGTTTAACAAAACAGTTATGTTCGAGGACTGGATTTTCTGTCCTGGCAGACTGTTTCCATATCTGTTTCTATCTCAATCAGTTTTAATTGAAATACAGTAGCAAGGAAAATGTTAAACCATAACCATCTGGATCATCTCTGGAGCCCATAACAGTAGTATGTTTATGAAAGCCAATGGCTTCTAATGCAGGCTGGACACAGGTGTTGGCTAATTGCTTAGCATGCATTCCATAGGGAAGTCACAAAGGAACAACCACTTGTGTGTAGTGGCACTTTCCCCCAAATAACATCTCAATCATGGGGGCTTACTTTCCTAGATACACATACAGGAGCTACCCTTTAGGCAGGCCTCCACTCAGCTTTGTGTTTTGAAAGACAATGCCAAAAACATGAATGTTTTGTTGAATGGAGATACCAAAATGTAACCGATTATGTGTAATTGAACTTTTTTTTCTGGTTCTTCCATTATAACAAATAATTCACAATGGTAATTATCTGCTATGATTTCGGCAAGTGTCTATGAGAAAACTACATGTTAAAAATGGGCCATGACGCCATTAAGAAGTAGTGGGACCTTCATGAAGTTGAGCCCACAAGGAGGCTTGGTGATTGGGGTAGAGGTCCAGTGGGGACAGAAGGGTACTAGTTCCCTCTCCCTGGGGATTCAATGTGTCACACCATGCACTCCTGCCCTAGCCCCGTGGCTAACCCTGAACCTCTTAGAGGCAAAGTAACCTCTTCTTTTTGCATGGATTATTGTGAGCTCTTGTTGTAGTGATAGAATATTAAAACACCGGCTAATATATAACATTCTACACTGAAAGTTTTCAGAGGAAGCTCTTTTCTCTTTTGCAGCAATCGAGGGTCATGAGGGTCATGGAGGACATGAGGACGTTACTGATCCCAAGGCAGCCAGGATTCACTGCTCACCTCTCTCTCCTGAAGCAGGCGGCGTAGTGTGCGTTTTCGGACAATGTGGCGCCTTCTCATGAACAGGCCAATCCCAAGGGCCACAACCACTATGAATAGGAGGCCACCCACAATCCCAGTGGCAATGGATGGGATCTTGGGCCTGGAATGAAGTTGAGAGATAAGAGAAGGTGAAATTGGCATTTCACACATGTCCTGCACCTTTTCGATACATAGGTAACATTTAAAATTATCTAAGAAACCGGGATGCTGTGTGGCTTCCAGACACAAAAGGACTTGGGGCTAAATTCTAAGACAAGGTTTCCAACATTCTTAGTTTCTTTGCCCCAAGTCAATTACTTTTTTTCATTTTTTTAAAAAAAAATTGAGGTCTCCACAGGGCCAAGAGTTGGTGGCATATGCTTTTAAAACTATCACACAAGACAGAGGCAGGCAGACTTCTGTGAGTTTGAGGTATACCTCTTCTGCATGGTGAGTTCCAGGACAACCAGGGCTACCTACATAGCGAGACCCTTTCTCAAAACAACAGAACAAAAAAAAAAAAAAAAAAAAACAAAAACAAAAACAAAAAAAAAAACAAACAAAAAACAAAACACAAAAACAACAACAAAATAACAAAATTGAGGTCTCATCTAAACTTCTCTCATCATGATAATTATTTTTGTAATCTATCAGTGAAGAAAAATATATTATATAAAGCATATGCTATATAGAATTAAAAAAACAATCCAGACATCAACACCACTGTTTAATTTTTATTTTTGAGAATTTCATATGTGAATACTGTATTTACGTCATCGCTAATCCTCCCATTTCCCCTCCAATTCCCCCCCCCCGTGTGCCTCCATTCCCTCTCAAATTCATGATCTCTTCTTTAATTGTACACACACACACAAAGAGTACAGCCATCAGAGTTCATTTAGTGTTTTTCATATGCTCATATGTATTGTGTTTAGGGATGACCACAGAAACTGGATGACCTATCATGGGGCTTGTCTCTGGATAAAACTGATTTCTCCTTTTAGGAGTCATTAGTTGCCTTTAGCTTTTTTTTTTCCTAGGGGTGGAGATTCTACATCCATGTTGGCATGTCAGCAGGTACTGTCATTGTGCAGGTCTAGTTTAGACAACTATATTTTGAGAATGCAGCTTTCTTTCATACACAGAAGACAATAGATACCCTGGTCCTCTGGTTCTTAACAATCTTTCTTTCCCCCTTCCATGATGTTCCTTGGACCTGAGGTGTAGGGTTGTGTTGTGGAAGTTAATACTTCTTTTTATATTAATTTGTTTCTTGTCCTTTCTAAGAGAACATTCATACAATTGAAAAGAAATAGACAATTTTCTATGGCCAGGTTAGGAGATCTTACACAAACTGAGATCTCTCATAGGGTCCTCTACTTTCATTGCTATCTTTTTATGAATGAACTCAATGGAAGTAAAAACTGACCCAGTTTAAATATCAAAAGCATCATTGTTGCTTTAAGTGTTGCCCTGATATATCCTCAAACCCAGGAATGCATTCACCTCTCCACTTCACCAAGGTGAAGTCTAATTTCAGAAAGATGAAATATCAGAAGTCCTGTCTTCAAGCTCACTAAGGACTATCTGAATTAATGCTACTAGCTCCTAATCTTTAAGGATTCTTTCTCACTTCTTTTATGGTGGTGCTAGGCTGAAAGTGTATTATCCTTAAGACTCTACCTCCATTTGAGTTCCTGGTAAATTTATTTTTATTTTCAGGTTAACGAATAGCAAAAAAATTGTTATCAGTGTTATTTACATATAGATAAGGTACCAAAGTCCTTGAAGACCTGTCTTAATTGCATCACCTGTACATCATGAGATGGAATACATTTCCTTCTCAGGGAGTACAAGTCATTTCCAGAGCTATATACCAAACCCCCCAATTTAATAAAATTAATGAGTTTTCACAATAAAAGTTAAACTCAGAATATACCAGGCATAATTTGTTTCAGAGAATGTGTTAAATGAAAAGCAACAGTAGCAAAGACAGGTAACCAGTTTAGAAGAGAAAACAGTTATCCAGTTTAGAAGAGAAAACAGTTAATAAAGAAATGATTACAAAGAATGGTCATTGACTATTTTCAAGGCAGGGATTGTATGGAAAACCATATAAGATGGTCACAGAGGTTGCTTAGGAAGACAGGAGAAGCTCTGCTGGAACTAAGTAACCTTGGAAGTTCAGAAAGAAGGTAGGATTCAAAAGGGTCTCATGACTAAGACAAGGCGTTATTTGATTTTATTGTTTCAGTGGATGTTAGAAGGGACAGACCACCATAGGAAGAAGTTAAAGAAGAGATGGTAAGGGAAGGGATATTTGAAATTATATCCAAAACTGAGAGATAAGCCTGACTATCAAACAGGTATTTTGTAGACACTCTTAATTCTTCACTAGATCCTGTTGGCTGATGATATCACTTTTGCACGATGGCTGCAAACAGAAATTAATAATTTCACTTTTCTCAGGGCAGCATTTTGGTCAACAGTGGAAACAGATCAGAAACAAAATGTTGGGGGAAGTTTACTGTCTTTGATGAACAATGTTTCAAGAAGGAAGAAAAGAGAAAATGCCCAAGGGTGGAACTTTGTCATCTAACAAAACAAATTATTCACAGCATGTTTGTGGCACAACCACCTGGGCTATACTTAAGACAAGACTTAAGTGAGGCTGCTGTTTCTGCAAAGCTAGAAACAGATATATGGAATGAGTTGGTCCACAGTGTCAAGTTCTTAGGGAGCTGGCCCTAGTGTTGCCCATCATCACTGACTAACCAAATGGACACAGGGTAAGAGGACAGAACCAGAGACCTGTGGCTGGGCCAGAGGATTTGGAAGAAACTCAAAGGCTAGAAAGAAAGCAGAAATGACTTCTGGTCATTGATCCCAAAGGTTTACCAGATTCAAAGTCATGGTACACACCTTGATGGACATCCTTGAAGACCTGGTCCAGCACATCTGTAGGAAAAAAACACAGACATCTTTTTCATTCTACTTTATTGGCATTTGACAATTTTCCACATTGTCATAAAGCAACTGTGATAAATTACTCTTTTATAGCTATAACCACAGTGATCTCAAAGTTGGGTAGTTACACATTTTAATACATTAATTCAGTTAACATTTTTGTTCATTTAGGCAGAAAATATTCTTGAGTGATTCATTAAAGCAGCTAGGTCATGGTGTGTAGAAGACTGCAGATAGATCCATATCTGTTGCCACGTACAAAACGTAAGTCCAAATGGATTAAAGACCTCAACAAAAATCCAGCTACTCTGAGCCTCTTAGAAGAGAAAGTGGGAGGTATCCATGAATGAATTGGCACAGTAGACAGCTTCCTGAATGTAACACCAGTAGCACAGACACTAAGATCGACAATTAATAAATGGGACCCCCTGAAACTGAGAAGCTTCTATAAGGGAAAGAACACAGTCAATAACACAAAACAGCAGCCCACAGACTGGGAAAAGATCTTCACCAATTCCACATTTGACAGAGGGCTGATTTCCAAAATATACAAAGAACTCAAGAAGTTAGTCACCAAAACACCAAATAATCCAATTAAAAAGTGGGGTACAGAACTAAATAGAGAATTTTCAATAGAGGAATCTTAAAATGGCTGAAAGACACTTAAGAAAGTGCTCATCATCCTTAGCTATCAGGGAAATGCAAATCAAAACAACCCTGAGATACAATATTAACTCCTGTCAGAATGGATAAAATAAAAAACACCAATGACAGTTTATGCTGGAGAGGATGTAGCAAAAGGAGAACACTCCTCCACTGCTAGTGCGAGTGCAAACTCACACAGCTACTTTGCAAATCAGTATAGTAGTTCCTCGGGAAAATGGGAATCAGTCTACCACAAGATCCAGCAGTTCCACTCTTAGGCATATGCCCAAATGATCCACATCCATAAAACAAAGACATCTGTTCAACTATGTTCATAGCAACATTATTTGTAATAGTCAGAACCTGGAAACACCCTAGATGCTCCTCAACTGAAGAATGGATAAAGAAAATGTGGCACATTTACACAATGAAGTACTACTCAGTGGGGAAACAAAATAAAATAAAAAACCACAATGGAGTCTTGGAATTAGCAGGCAACTGGATGGGACTAGAAGAAGCCATCCTGAGTGAAATAACCCAGTCACAAAAAGACAAAAATAGTATGTACTCCCTCATATATGGATTTTAGACATAGAGCAAAGGATCATCACCCTACAATTCATACTGCCAGAGAAGCTAGGAAACAAGGAGGACCCTAAGAGAGACAAACATGGTCCCCCACAGATGGGGAAAGGGACAAGATCTCCTGAGCAAATTAGGAGCAGGAGGGCAGTGAGAGGAGAGGGGGTTAGGAGAAAGAGAAGGGGAGAAGAGGAGGGGAGAGAAGAACATGAGAGAGTAGGAAGATTGAGTCAGGGGGAAGAATAGAGGAACAAGAAAAGAGATACCATAATATAGGGAGCCATTCTAGTTTTAAAGAGAAATCTGGCACTAGGCAAATGTCCAGAGACCTACAAAGATGACCCCAACTAACACTAAGCAATAGTGGGGATAGCTGGGAGACTATCTTACATGCTCTTCCCTGGTAATGAGATCGATGACTACCTTAAATGCCATCCTAGAGCCTTCATCCACTAGCTAATGGAAGCAGAAGAAGACAACCACAGTTAACACTGATCTAAACTTCTGGAATCCAGTTGCTGAGAGAAGTGATGAGCAAAGGGGTCAAGACCAGGCTGAAGAAACCCACACAAATAGCTGACCTGAACAAGGGGTAGCTCATGGACCCCAGACTGATAGCTGGGAAACCAGCATAAGCCTGACTCAGACCCTCTGAAAGTGAGGAGACCTGAGCAGTTTAAGTGATGTCTGACAGTAGAAACAGGATGTATCCCTAGTGCACAAATGGACTCCAGAAGCCCATTCCCCATGGAAGGATATTTCCTTAGCCTAGAAACACAGGATAGGGCCTAGGCCCTACCCCAAATGACTTGACAGACTTTGATGATCCCTCATGGAAGGTCTCACCCTGGGGAGTGGATGAGGGATGGGATGGGGGGTTTAATGAGTGGCATGGAAAAGTAAGAGGGAGGGGGAACTGGGATTGATATGTAAAAGAAGAAAAAAAAAACAGAAAAAAAAAGCAGCCAGGTCATCAGTGAAATGTAACACCCCAAATAGTTGCCACACAGCTGGCACCAAATGCCTGTAAGGACAGGGAGCAGTATGACAAAGACCATATTTGGAATTACTCAAGACAGGAATAGGTTTTAATCTCTACCTTCTGATTTTCTTGGATTTTTGAGGGTTTTCCCCTCTGACTCCTTGCTATAAAATAAAGCCATGTGCAATGCCTTTGGTCCTGCATTCATAAACCAAACTTGCTGGCATTCCATCTATAAGTAGTGGGCTACACCAGGAGGCCTGGCTGTTTCCTTGTAGATACACAAAAGATAGTCAGAGAAAGATAGGAAGCCTTCTCTGGTGTCACTTAGGCTCTCCTTCAAATAGGATTTCTGGCGGTCTGTTTATTGTTGAATTTAAAACACCGGGAGCCCACGCCTGCTGAGGGGATTGACAATTTGGACAAGCTGCTTGATTTCATACAGCCCTTGAAAGCTACACTGGACAATTGCCATTGATTGTCAACAGGAAGCTGTGATCAGTGAGCTCAGAGGGAAAGAGTAACCAGTTCCCATGTAACAGGATGACCAACGGGGACAGTGACAGAACAGATGCTGCAGAAGGGAAGGATTGGGGCATCACAAGATTCAGGAACCAGTGGGGAAGCTGACAATGTACTCCCTTGTGTTTTGCCTTTGGTGGAAAGTCAAAGAGGTCATATCATCTACTTCTGTCATATTCTGTGTCCCACTCAAGTCTTTCTTCATTGCAAGAAATTTATAATTACAATTGCACTGGGATGTACAACTGAAATGGACAAATTCTTGTGGAACTCTGTTTATCAGGGTAAAAGTGTCAAGAAAATATCCCTTTAATATGAAAGTAAGGTTCAATGTAAAGATGTATGTGCCTCAAGTGTCCCTGCAAATTCTGAGATGGGCACAGTTGTGGCTCTTGGAGTCACGTAGGGTCCTTATGGGTAATCTAGCTCTTAACATGAGTGGTTCATAAATTGTGAAGATCTCTGAGTCCCATAAAATATTTCCTTCTCCATGAAAACAGAGAAAGCACCACCCAGTACCCTCTCTTTGAAAATTAGAGTGTGCTTGATAATATATACATCATAAATTTTAACTAGAGAAAGTTTCCCTCATTTTCATTTGTCCCCATCAACACTTCACCGTATTTTAAAAGTAAATATATTTCAATCAAACTATTCTATGTGATTAATTATTTTGAGATAAAATACAGGTCATAAGAGCAAGACTATTTAAAAAAATATATATGTTCTTCATCTGATATAGAATTAGGAAAAACATCTGACCAACTGACAAATAAAAAATTTTAATTTACATTATAAACAAATTTCATCTTTCGTTATTTGAAAACTATCTGTTATTCAAGGTAGAGACTCATATTGACAATTCCTCCTGCTTGGTGACTTCTGAGGTTCCCGTAGGGCCAACAGTACACAGTCATAGACAGAAACATACACACATACTTATTTCCAAAACAGAGAAAAGGGAGGTGTTCATTTATTGTATACCGCTCATGTAGTAATGTTTTAAGGAATCTGTTCCAAAATTGCTTATGCAAAGAATTGGCTAAGTTGAAAAGGAGCAAAGTGTAATTCTTACAGGCTCTGCAGATGTTATAAACTGAACAATGTAACCAGCATGGTGAAACACACACAGGGAAAATTGGACAATGTTAAATTACTACCAAAGAAATGGTAAATTCCAGGACCCACACCTGAGTTTTAGAACTATTATTTTAAAAGTACAGCAAGATAAATGGAATTTCAGACCAAGGCTATCCCTAATGTTGAAACATTGTTATCCTACCCATCACCATCAGATGTTGGCTTCCTTTACATAATCTGAGACTTTTGGACAGCTACATAACTACCACCACCACTATCTCCATCACCATAACCTTATCAATATTACCATTACCCACATCACCATTACCACCACTATCCACACCACTACCACCACTTTCCATATCACCATCACTACTATCTACATCATTATCATCCACACCATCAGCACCATTTACATCACCACCATCACCACTATCCAAATTGTCATCACCACCAGTATCCACATTGCCATCACCACTATCCACATCATCACCATCCCCATTAACACTCATTGTTCATTAGTGCTCACCCAGCTTTAGTCACTACTTTAAGTGTTTTACAGATATTGACTCATGATCACAAAATCCTGTAACCTGAATTATTTATCATTGCATTTTACAGAAGAATCTAGTTAGATACACAGCACATAATAGCCATATAGTTGATAATGGAGAGATCCAGGGAAAGAATGAGAAATAGATCTGAGTAAGAGTGAAGATTTTAAGAAACACAATGAGATGTATAATATATATCCTGATTCTGTTCTGGTTAATGAGTGTAATCTGATTCAAATCTTAATTTATAGTATTCCAGTATATCAGATTTATAGAATCAGAGCACTTCAGCTAATTCTAGTCAAGTCTACATTAATTAATGGTGTAACAGCTTAAAATTAGAGCAGATTTTGAAAAGGTGCTTTGGAGCAACATCTCAGGAAGAGTTACTGTGTGTGTGTGTGTGTGTGTGTGTGTGTGTGTTGTGTGAAGTCTAGAAGTTAACATCAGACATTCTTCAAACACAACTGCTCCTTTTTAATTCTCTCACTGAAGTGAAGTTTACCAACATTTTGGCTAGAACGGATGGCCAGAGAGCCCTGGGGATCTTCTTGCCTTTGTCTTTCTAGTACTGGGGTTACAGGTGTTTACTGTCATTACTCCTGGCTTTTTCTACATGAGAGCTGGTGATCAAACTAAGGTCCACATGATCGAATGAAAAACATGTTACTGACTGAGACAGATCTTTCCCCACCCCCAGTCCACACCATCCCCATTCAAACCTTGTTTATACAGAGGGCAAAGAGGTGAAACTTGACAATTGTACCCATTACTTTTTCCTTTTGGCATATGTAGTTCTAAGGAACCTGAGACAAACTTCTTGAGATGCAGAGTGATATTCTTACCAGTCTAAGAACTGCCAACCAGCACATCACTCTGCCACCACAACCACACAGTTGGAACTTCTTAGGGCCCTGGCTAAAATACAAACCAATATAACCCACTGCCGAAAATTTCACAGACATTTCCAGTGTACAAATTTTCATATGCTATTGTAGGTGACTGTGCTACACTTACCCGTAGGTACAGTTTGGATGGCAGAGGTGGCAGACATTATTGGCATCTGCATACTTCCAAACTAAGGTGTTGTTCTCCCCCATGATCCCAGCTGGGCAGGTCTTGACACAGTGTGGGCCGTCAATGTAGTGGGCACATTTGATGCAGTTGTCTGGTCCCTGAACCAAGGTACAGAGAAGGTTACCAATCATTTCTTTCTTTTTTTAAATGGAAATAACTTTCTATTCATAATATTTACTGTGAGGAATCAAAAGCCATTATTATTATTAATAATAAATTATTATTATTATTATTATTATTATTATTATTATTATTATTATTATTATATGTGCATGCATGTCTGTGTACCACTTGTGTACCACTGGTGCTCACAGAGGTCAGAAGAGGGCATCAAATCTCCTGAAACTGGAGTTACAGGTGGCTGTGAGCTGCCATGTTGGTATTGAGAATCAAACCTGGGTCCTCTAAAAGAACAGTTATTGCTCTTAACCACTGAGCCATCTGTCCTGACCCAGTGGGGAAGGTCTTAAAATATATGACAAGTTCTGTGATTGTCCTTACCCCTATGCCCATGATGTGTTTTTCTGACATTCCTGAAACAGATTTACTTTCTTTTAATTAGCTAATTACGTATGTGTGTGGACGAAACTGTGGAGATGAGGGGACAGCTTGTGAGAGGTAGCACTTTCCTTCTACCATGTGAGTCTCAGGGATGGAATGAAAGCAACCGGGCTAGGCAGGAAGTCCCTTTTCCATTATGCTGGCCCTCAGATTTACTTTCTGCTTACTATACAAAGCAATTTGATCTGTGTGCTATAATCTGTTAAGAAAGGACAGATGTTATTTGTTTTTCCCATTCTCAGTCACTCTAGTACAGCAAAGTTGTATGAAGTACATAAGGTATTCATAGAAAAAGCATACACATTTATTTTTATATAAACACAAATTAAACTACATTATTTACTGTATTTTAACATTATTTTAAGATATTGTAGACATAGTAGTTGTCAAAGTCACCTTGATTTGTTTACATGTATTTTATATCCTTATTTTTCTTGCATATCACATTTGAAGTTAAAAGGAAGTACTGAGGGAGGCCAGACTTTGACTTGCTGAGGCACATGAAGGAAAACCCCCTTTTGTATTTCTCCAGGGAAAAGAAGGTGGCACATGGCAGTGCTGGCTGCAGAATGGACTGTGAATGTGTAGCATTAGACCCTGTCTGTAAAACTTGGAATGCCCTTGTAAAATCCTGAGAAATGAAGGCAGTGGGACTGCCTGGGCTGTGTGCTTCACACTTCACAAGAGGACTGAAATAAAGCTGTTAGGCAAGGCTTTTTCCCCCTTGGCTCCAGTAACCATTCAGCTTTGTCTGCACAGAGGCTGAACATACTCAAAGCCAGAGCAGCTGGAACACTAAAGCAAAAGCAGCAATTATTTCACTGTAGCAATGAAAATTCAACCCAATGCCATGTAAGGCTGCAGACCAAGGGCTTACTTTGTAACCAGTCATGCTGACAGTCTAGATTTCCTAACTCAGTTCTGTTACACTATGCTTGATTGATGGACAACCTCTGAAACATGTTTCAATGAGGAGATTGAGATTTTGCTTCTGAAACTCACAATGAAACAGAGTTCCATCTATGCCTAGTATCAGGTATGTACAGCATATTCATGTCAGAGAAACCTGAATTCTCACTTACACACCTCAAGATTTTGTTACTGTGTATGTAGATAACCAACTGATTTTAAAAAAAAATTGCTGGGCTTTCTGTTAAAAATTAGTGTGATTTGAATTTGTTAAACAATTCTCTGGTGGTATTTGATTAAAATGAAGAGATGATGGCAGATGGCAGAAGCTGAGAAAGCTTTCTGGCAGTGTCCAAGCATAGCACAGGATGTCCTGTAGTACAGTGTGGGGATGGCCATGGTGAAATGGTTGTGGGATCCTGGACAAGGCAGGTGTGAGGCACCTTTAGCTACTTTATGGATCAGATCCTGAACATGTCTTCCATGAAAAGGACTTGTGTGGCCATCTTTCCTATTGGGGGGCTTGGATCCTGCACATTTCTTCCCTGGAAAGGGCTTGCACAGCCATCTTCCTTGCTGTGGGTAGCTTGGATCATTGCTGTTCTTTCTGCTGCTGTGAAGGATTTCCCACAAAACATGGTAGACAAGAGTACCGCTCCTTACCCGGCCTGTACAGGTGATGTTCATGTCCTGGGGAAGACATTCTGGATGGCATTGGATGCACTCGGACTTCTCCACAAACTCCCTTGGCTCCCTAGGAGAAGAACACAGTGAACTGAGCATGCCATACCCTGAGTGGCTGAAACTATTTCAAGTAACACAAATGACCTATGCCAGAAATTCAAAAGCTTTTTAAGGGCAAAGGGTCAGAATTCTGGGACTGACCTGAAATAGAATATGCTGAGGTCACCAACAGAACCTCAGGTCACCTCACACGCAGCTTCATTTATAATCAGAGTAATTCCCTGACATTTTTCTATAGGCATGGTTTTTGAATGTCAGGTAAGAAAGCCAAATATGAAAAACATCTTTATGAGCCATCTCTTCCCTCTAAGACCAAATTCATGGATATTTAAGCTGGAAAGAAATGGTTACTAAGACTAAGGGATAGGAAAGGAACGTTCAAGCTTGTTCATTTCTGGAGCCTCTGAAAAACACCTTCCTGTTTGCTGCCTCTCTTGGAATTGCAACATTAGATACATTAATCCAACAATGGACTCCTCTCAGATGGCCTTTCCTTTGCCTACTTTTAGTAGTTCAAGCTTAGCTGGCAGCATCTAGGTAGAAGCAGCAGGGCGAGAAAGAGGGATGGAAGGGGCCGTGGAGCAGCAGTGATAGCAAGCAGTCATCAGCGTCAGCTGCAGAAGCGCACTGGGCCATTGCTTGGAAGGTGAAAAGTGGGAGGCTGGGCAGCTTGAGAGGGGAGAAGCTGGCACAAAGGGGATGGTGGAAGTCGAGAGGATGGAGAACTGAGGCTGAAGGATGGACTACTGCAAAGAGCGGGGGAGAAGAAGCAAAAATGTCTGTTTGCTGCAAAAATTCCAGACTATGCCAAGATTTTAGAGCCAAGGGTCTCAGACATCTTAGGACCATGAATTGTAACAGTAATAACCTTCCAGGATTGAGGAACCTATTTTGAGGCCCTTTTTGAAGTTGGACCAACAGCTACTATGGGCTAGAGAACCGCGATGTGCCTGGCCTATGCACATCTGTAACACTAGGAGTCCTACACCGCACCCCTACATAAGAACTCTGAGACTTGTGCTGCTAAGCGTCTTGCTAATCAAGTAATGAAGAAGGGTTGTTGCAACAGTTAAGGGTGTCATGTGCACTTGCCTCTGCCTGCCTGTTTGCCACTACTCAGTGCTGTCAAACTGTAAAGTGTACAAAAGAGGACAAAGACTAGCACCGGATTGTTTTCCCTTGTCATTTCACCGTTCCTCTGTCAGCAGAACAAAGAGACCACAGCTAATGACTAGTCATGAAAAAACCCAGTGTTGATTTCCCAGCTTTGTCTTTGTGTCACCTCCTGCCTAAGGGCCCCAGCTTGAACAGTGGTGAGGTCCTGCAGGCCATCAGGCATCTCGCTCTAAGAGCCCCGAGTCCCTGGGTATGATGAAGAGATTAGAAAGCTGAAAATATGAATGTCTGTTCAGAACAGCAAGGACTGGTGCTTCATATGCGATGTTCAAACAGCAGTTATAGCAGTTGTCCTAAGCCCATCAAGTTCTTACATATTCAGAATTGTCTTTCCATCCAGCTCTGGAACATTTCTGGGTAGAAACTGTGATCTACACCCTGTTAGTGAAACAGGATTCCCCAGCACTGCCTGTAACTCATAAGTCTTCTCTCCACCATAGTTTCCCTTATTACCTTAGATCTAAAAGAATGCCCCATTCTATCCTTCAACTTAATTTTCCAAGTAATTTACTTTAATCATTACCAGTATTCACTTAAAACTTTATCCCAATATTGAAATTCTCATTGTATCTGAATCTAATATTGATTGATTACTATTATATTAAACAAATATGTAAATTATTTCTTTGTCCCTGGTTGTATTAAAAATAATTTGCATCACTCAATGATCAGTGTGTATGAGGGGTGCATAAAACTGAAATTGTTTAGGAAGTATTCTGTGCTGATATATTTTAATACAATGGAAATAGTGGACTGGAAAGAAAAGGCGAAATGTCTACACCACTATGCCTGTTCTATCTTGAGAAATTCCTGTACAATGAAAATTTAAAGTATTTTCAGGAAAAGAGATATGGCAGATTATCAGGTGCATTGAAGAATAGAGAAAAACTTATTTCCTAATGTGCTGAACACTTTTCCAAAACAATAAACAGAGAATAAAAGAAGATAATACCAACAACAAGAGAGAAAGAAAAAAATTAACTTGGATAAGTACAAGGCTGTAAGAACAGCACAGTGGCCTATTTCTTAGCTAGACAAAGGCAGAAAGAACAGTGTCTCACCCCTCCAGGACGTTACACTTCTCCACGCACTCTCTGCCCCTGCTGACATTCTGGCAGGAGACACAGTCCATGGGCGAAGGGCCCCAGCAGCCTTCCGGGGAGCACAGAGAATTACAGACGTGGCCTGTGGCCTCTGAGAAGACACAGTGAGTCACAGGTCAGTTATAGAACAGTAACAGGAGGGGGTCAGAAGAGGTAACACATTTCTGAGGGGCTGTGTGCTCTTCACAAACACACCGCAGTTCTGAAAAGAGTAGGGTACCATGGCCTCTGTTCTCTGTGGTGTTCAGGGCAGCTTGGCCCTGACTCTTGGGAGGCTTTGATGATGGATGTCACAGCTGATAGAAATGACAGGCAAGGTTGTAGCTGCTTGCTGTGTGCTGGGTAGCATGCCAAGAGCTTCGCATACAGGAAGGATTTCATGTCACTGAGAAACACCATGGTACTGGAACCACCGCCATGTGTAAATGAGGAAGCCAAAGCCAAAGGTGATGAAAATAAACAGGGCAAGTTCTCAAAGCCCAACTGGACCAGAGGACCTCTGCTACTTAGCATTACTTTTGCCAGTGTTTAGAGCCTTGCCACAAATCCAGGGGCATTTGATAGTTTCAAAAGCTAGTATAACTTAATGTTTTTAACTAGAGCTGGGAATATAACTGAAATGTCACACATTCTTTGATGCATATGTGTGGACACCCACATGTACATGACCTTGGCTATAGTGGTCAAAGAAGGAAGGGAGCACAGAGATCTTTAGTTAAAATGTAATGGAATGGAGACTACATTTTGTTCTTTAAATTACAGATGCTTAGTATCCTAAATCTCAGCACATGTATTACATTACTCATTGATAAGACCACATATCTAACAAGAAAGAACTGACGAGGGGAAGGGTTAACCTTGGCTGACATTAAAGAAGGAAATACTGTCCATCATAGTGGCAGAAGCACGAGGCAAAGTGCTCAAACGCATGCTTATAGAAACATGCTCACACCGCGTCATCCCCCGCCTCTTACCCTTGCTCCCAGACCACAGAGGATCATGGACATCTTATAATGCAAATTGTGTTCATCCATCTTCTTAAGTCTTTAAAAAAAATCTACATTATCTTTTCATTTTGTGTAGGGGATGTGCATGTGCATGCCGTGGTGTGTGTGTGTGTGTGTGTGTGTGTGTGTGTGTGTGTGTGTGTGTGTGTGTGTAATCAATTTGTGTGAGTTGGCTCTCTCCTTCCTCCATGTGAGTCCTGGGAACAGACCTCAGCTTTCCAGGCTTGGCAGCAATGTTCTTTTCTGCTGAGCCATCTCACTTGCCCTTGGTAAGTCTTTAACAGTATCAATATTGTTCAAAAGTCTCAATTCTATTTTTTCTGCCTTGAGACTCAAGACAATCTATTAACTGTTGGCCTCTGTGCAATCAGAAAGTAAATTACAAACATCCAACACATGATGCCACATAGTAAACATTTCCATTTCGAAGAGGTGGGATGGAGGACAGCAAAGAAATACTGAACCAAAGCAAGATCTAAACCCAGCAGAATTCCCAAGTCCTTGAGATCCTGAGTAATTTCATCAGGATTTCCAGATGTTGGAAATAAGGGGCTCTTAAGAACTTGGGTAGCTCTGTCCTTCCTGGTCTGCCCCTTGCAGTATGCAAAATCTCTGCCCTTGGCCTGCTCAGACGTCCTACCCTGATGACATCGTTAAAATCCTGAAGTGTCCATTGTAACTTAAACTTAATCTTTATGGGTTTGAATGGATGGCCTCTCTAGGCCTCCTTTTAGGGACTTCAGTCCTGCTACATACTGGCTGGCTTGACTGGTTTTCTTTAACCTGGCACAAGCCTCCTTGCCCCTTTAGTCTTGAATCTTTCATGTGTACAAAACCAGTACCATGATGATGATGTTGCCCATTTCAGTGGCTACAGATGTAGCCTGGCCTCTGGAAGAAGGCAGTCTCTCCAGCAGGATTCTCAGTTTTGACTCTCTTCCTTCAAATGGCTGCACATCCCTTTGGCAGATGGATGCCGTCAGGGATCTTTTTTCTGTAGTTCCAATGTAGGGTACACAACTTCTCTTTAAGGGTTAATCTCTTTGCAGTTATGATTGCATTCTCAGAATCTGGATAATTTGTAACTTTAAATTCTCCCCTTTCCCCACTGAACTACACATTTTTTCATACTCCATGTCCACTTTTTCCCTCCATCACACTGTAGACCTGGGTAAGAGCAGTGAGCAGGAGCCACGGACCTCTTTGGCACTCCTTCTAAAAACAAATTACTTCAGGAACCATCTACACAGGTGAGACAGGGCCAGCTACTTACTGCAGTCATCCTGGGCTCTGTTGTTCATGATTTTGGTTTTCTGATTGGAAGTCCCAAAGAGTTTTTTCCAGTTTATCGTATTTGCGTAGCACAAATTCCGGTTTCCTGAAATGACCACATCTCCATCACTTATTTCCTTGAGGGAACGCAATCCCAATGATGTTATGTTTAGGCCAACAACCGCAAGAGAAAATTGACCACTAAATGGGGGAGAAGAAAAATTGCATTGTACATGGTAGTGAAAACAACATGTCACACTCAAATTTTGTTTCTCTGGGCCACTCACTTTCCTGAAAACTATGTTCCAATTATTACTAATAATTCTGTGAAAAATATGAATCACAACTTTCAAAAATGCAAGTGTTTTTTTAAGTTTCTTCAATGAAAGCCTGTTTATCATCCATTTATTATATTTAACCTTGGATAAACTAGAGGGCTGAGTCATTGGCCTCATGTCATTTTATTTACTATATTTAAAGTTTTCCTAGAAATCAAGAACATCTAAATGTGCTTTTAGTAAGTTTGTTTGTCCGTCCATCCATCTATTCATCTATCCAGTGTCATCTGGTCATGTTTATTGAGTGAATATCTGTGGCACCACTTGACAAATACTATATAGGTTAAATATGTATCTCTTATACAGGCAGAGTATTTTGTTTATTTGTTTTTGCATCCCTACCATAATATCTCCTCCCTCTTCTTATCCAAGTCCCTTCCCCCATTCACTCTTTCTCCTTTGTTTCTCTTCAGAAAAAGGAAGGCCTCCCATGGATATTAGCCAGCCATGGTATATTGAGTTACAGTGAGACTAGGCACCTCCCTTCATATTAAGTCTGGAAGAGTAAAGGGTCCCCAAAAGCAGACAGCAGAGTCAGAGACAGCCCCTTTCCCAATATTAGGAATCCCACAAGAAGACCAAGCTACACAACTGTAACATATATGCCTATGTCAGTCTCATGCAAGCTCCCTGGTTATTGGGTCAGTCTCTGTGAGCTCCTGTAAGCCCAGGTTAGCTGATTTCATGCAGTGTTTTGAATCCAGAGAAGTGAATGCAGCCTTAGAGGGCTCTGATGGTCAATCATGGGTACTTAAGTAGCTCCATGAAGGATTGGCATAGAAGGACAACTTTCTCTGAGCCCCGATGTCTCATATCTGAGACCTGGAGAGCACAGCCAGGTAAGATTCTACAAGGTATGTTCCCATTGGATGGCCATATTAAAGTTAGCAAGACAAAAGGCAATGGAATCCCAAAGCCCTTGAAGGAGAGGACTTCCAGATGTCTGCAGGTAGGAAGGGCTGGAAGACCGGTCTGGGATGGAGGCTGAAGTCAGAGCACAGACTTATGCCCCTGCTGGAAGAGCTTGGGTTGTCACAGGCAACATAGAAGCACTGTGCATTTGTAGGAAGTTTCTTTGATGCCAGCATCAGCAATGGGTCGGTTGAGACAGGACAAAAGGAAGAGAATGGAAGTTAAGAGGTTAAATGCCAAAGGTTTAAAGCATTATTTGGCCGTCTCTCTCTTCCTGTTCATGCTGCTTCCTATTTCCTCAAAGCCTGTTTCCAGAGAAGTGACAGATTCTCCCCCGGGCATCACCTCAGGGTCTGGCTGAGGTCTTTCATGCAGGGCAAGTCCCAGTGTTTTGTGAGTCACACCAGAACCTAGTGGTCATCCCGTAGCTTAAACTAAGCAGAAGGCTACAGTGCAGTCACTTGAAATCCTGTGCTAAAGTTCATCCCTGTGCTGGCCCCAGCAAAGACATTCCTGAGAGCTCGCAGGAAGCAAAAGTAGCAGCTGTGTGCCTAGTATCAGAAGTGTCTGACTAATGGAGTTTACGGAAGCAATGTATATTGTGTATATGTGTATGTGGTGCTTTGATTTACTAAATAGTTCATGATATGTGATGTTAATAGTGGCACATTCCAGAAAAGGTTGTCATAATCAGAAACTTTTCAAGGCAGTTTGAGCTACAGATTTCCAAATTTCTCTTCCTCACCACAAATCTTAGGATTTCTCTGTTAAAGAATTTTCTTCTGCTCCTCCTTCCTTCCCTCCTTTTTCCCCTCCCCCTGCTTTCCCCCTCCCTCTCTCCTTTGCCCCCTCCTTCCTTTCTTTCCCCCTTCCTCCTTTCCCCCTCCTTCCTTTCCCTCCTCCCTCCCTGCTTTCCTCCTCCTCCCTTCCTCCTTTCCCCCTTCCTCCCTCCCTTCCTCCCTCTGTCTCTCTGTCTCCCCCCCCTCTCCCTCTCTCTGTATCTTTTCTCTCTTTGCACACATTTCCTTGTTGTGGCTGGAAGAATGGTCATTATAGGTCCCCAAACCATTTAGTGTTAAAATATTACTTAGGTCCCCTTGTGTGATATCAAATATTTTCAAGTATTTGCCAAGCATAAATAAGGAGATATTCTATAAAACACCCGGTTACATTTTCCCAGAGTGTCAAGATAGTGAAAATGGGCAAAGGCATAGAAGTGAGGGGCATTTGAAGGGAACTGAGACGATATTAGAAGGCAATGTGATGTGGGATTCTTGAGAGGACAGAGAAAGAACAAACATATTCCTGGAAAATCTAGAGAGCTCAGAATAAAGTGCATGGTCGAGTGAATGGCACTGTGCAGTGTCAACATCTTTACCTGAATCTGAATATCCACTCACCAAAGCTGTTCACCTCAGGGGAAGCCGAGTGAAAGATCATCTTCGTACTATTTCTACACCCCTCCTTTCAGGCCAGTTTCAAAACAAAAAGCAAACATAATCTACCAGGCTTTGGTTATAGCTGACTTACTGTTGCTTTGTTCTGCCGCGGATTATTTCTAGGTTCTCAAAAGCATGGAGGTCAGTCCAGTTTTCAGGCCAAGCCTGAATCAGCAAAAACCCTAGAGGGAGGGAGAAAGGCTTAGACACACACGGAGCCAGAGATGTTTTTGATTCGTAAGAAACATTCTAGAACTTATGCTGCGTGGACAGCAGCAGTGGATTTTCCCAGTCTCGCTGTGACTAAGGATGACTAAGGATGTCTAAGGATGACAGTCCAGACAATATTAAAAGAACATTGAAATCCTGCCCCCTCCATGGAACTTTGAATCCCTCATCACACCCCTCTCAACCTTCAGGCCAATGTCCACCCGACAGGCTGACCATGTGCTCTGATACCCGTGGAGGATATCAGATCACACACTGGGTTCCTTTTCTGACTGTTTTCAAGTTGTTGGTTACTTAGGGTCACCGCTTAAATACTTTCTTCACTTAGCTCTGATTTCTGTATCAGTCTTGTTTTCCAGATCAAATTATCCCTTTTTAAAGGTGAAGAAAATGGAGTGCAGGTGGCAGTCATGGCTCAAGACTCCCCAGTGAACAACTGTTTGAAATCTGGTTTATGAAACCCGAGACCCTGCACTTCCCCCTCTAGGGTTTGGGGTCCATGAGGATGATGGCCTGTCTGAGCTGTGCCCACATGAAGACAAGCATGGCCGCAGTCTTGTCTTAAATGCTTTCAACTTGCACAAAGGGACACTGGAGTTTTACAAAGTCTCAAAGGACTAATCGTAACGGTAGAACTTCAGACACCGCATTCTTATGTCAGAGAAAAAGAGGGGTTCTTTGATGGTTTCTATAAAATTTAATTTCCCACATATGCTCCCAGATACACCAGCACAAACCTGTTATTTCCTTTACGGTTTTCAGAATCTCTAGTTCCTGTGGGTCTAGAGGAGGAGTACGTGTGAAGGTATCCCTGAAACAAACAGTAACACGATTATTGATCACTTTCCATGATTTAAAAAAGTAGGTTTTGCTGCTCTCTGTCCTGGTCACTCAGCTGTTACTTACCCCTTAAAGGCCACTGGCAGGATATGAAGATCGCCACTGATGGAAGTGCAGTATTTGAAGTGTTTGATGTTTGTAGCATTTATGGAGAGTGTGTCTTTAAATTCACCAATGCCGATGCCATTACAAACTGTTAAGAGAAATAATTGTTCCATTTACCTTTGCCGAATTAAGAAGGCTGCACCTACCCAGGCAGAAGTAGGAACCCCTGTCATTTTTCTACCTGGACTGAATCTAGCCACTCAAAAAGACATGGGCTCTTCCCCCTTTCTGTCCGGGACAGTTCACCTACCTGGGCTGCAGGTGGCGCCTCTGTACCTGGTTCAGTAGAAAGCCCCCTCCCCATCTCCACCTTTGTAATTTGCTTTGCAAGTAACTTGGCTTCTACTTTCCAGAGGAAATGCGCATTTTTAAAATTAAGAGTAAGATGTGTTGGTTTGGAGGGTGGACACAAGAATTCAGCACAAAGGTCAATAAAAAGGCCTTACCTTTGCGACAGGGCCCGTCACACTTTTTACACTTGCGGACACCATCTTCTTCCACTTCATAGTAGTCAGGACCACAGGCCCGGACACACGAGCCATGATCTGTTACCACATAGTTCCCTGAGGAAGAGGCAGTGAAAAGAAGGTGTTGAAGGCCACGGCAGGTCCTCCTAACCTTCCACAAACTTCCTCATGTCCACATAACGGGTCCCTAATGGTTCGGTTGACTTTACTTTTGAAGGGAGAGAGATGGGCTTTAACTATAAAAGGAATCAAGCCTGAGTTTAATGACTTTTTCTGACAGTAGTATGGAGGAACACAGATAATTGCTCACAGGCATGATACAGCACCAGCAGGGAACACACTCACTGACTGAAAGCCTTTGAACATCAGCTTCCTTGATCAGATCTGTGTTTGGAACTTACAGATAAACCTTGACATTGTATGAGACACCCGTCAATGCTTAGCAAACAGACCATGTCCCATTGAGGGCACTACAGTTTGCCACCACCTTTGCTCATTCCTACCTGCCATGTGGCCCTTGGGGGAGCATTGAGGGGACCAGTTTGTTCCACTTCCCAGACAGGCACCCCAATCTATCTCTCCATTCCCCCTCATCTTTATGAAGTCTACCTTGTTTAGTATTTATGATTATAGTATGTGTTAGAAACTCTATGCACCTATTTGGAGTTTCTCAAATAGATCCTCAAAAACATGAGCATTGGTAGCATGTCTGTGAGTCTTGTGCTCTTCTTATCTTAGGTTTTGAGTGTTTTCTGTGGATTTGAAGGCTCTGTTTACTAAGTTCTCACATAGAGAGCCCATCCATGGCATGGCTATGGTGAGTTTTCTTTCATTTAGTTTTCATTGACTTTGCAGTGGCTTATTATTCTATTTCTGTTCTTCTTTGTCTTTCTCTCTCTTTTTTCTAAATAGACTTTCATGACCTAAATCGAGGTAGGCAAAAATCTCACCCTCAGCCTTATAGTTTCTCTTTTACTTTTTTTTGGGGGGGGGGTGTTTTTTTGAGACAGGGCTTCTCTGTGTATCCCTGGCTGTCCTGGAACTTGCTCTGGAGACCAGGCTGGCCTTGAACTCAGAAATTCACCTGCCTCTGCCTTCCAGTGCTGAGCTTAACGGCGTGTGCTGCTACTGCCCATAGTCAGGATTGGATTTTAAGGCTCTTTATGCATTGCTTCCCTTTGTCTGTTTGGGGCTGATCCATGTTGCCATTTCCCTATAGGCCCCAGACTACCCAAGACTCCAGCATAAGTCAAAAAGAGGACAGGGATGACAGCAGAGTCAAAGGTGGACAACTCACGGGGACATTTCTTCACGCAGGTGGCGCCAAAGCTGTACTTTCCCTCAGGGTTGACGTCCATCTGATATGTGGTGGGGTTGTACAGCATCAGTGGTGGGCAGGTGTCTTTGCATGTGGCTTCGTCTCGGAATTTGTGGCACACCTGTCACAGGAGGGACAACATGCCTGCTCAAGATGTGGCATCCTAATGAAAGAATCACAGGGCCAAGCAGCCTGCAGGTCAGGGCAATGGCAGTTCTTAGCCTAGCTCAGGCATTCAGCGAGAAGGAAAAGAATCCAGGCAGCTTTTCAGGGTAGTCAGAAACCTCGTCCTCTTGCAAGTAATCATTTTAAGTATACCCACTGTTCCAGCTGCTCTAACTTAGGGTTTGTGGTTAGAAAAGAAATACATCTCAATTGATTACAGGTGACAAGGAATGGTAACCCTGGCATGGTAAGCATGGTGTGACACTATTTTTAAACCCAGTTCGTACTGGGTTTCCCTGATAAAGAGTGCTTTAGGAGATACTTTAGGGTTTGTTGTCAAAGTGCAGGAATCTTAGCAGAACGCTTCCATGCAGAAAGGGCCAGACCAAAGGTGGTGGCTCTTACGAAGAAATCCATAGACAGCCTTTCTCCTGGACTGCTCAGTAGATCCAGCCCAGGACTGCCCAAGTGAAAAAGAATTCCAGGGCCAGCTCTGGTTTGGGATTTAAGAATCTTCTGTTTGCAGAAACCAGAGAATATTCTAGAGTCTAGTTTAGGATGGACTTCCTCTTCTGGAGCCTGACAGGGCCTTGCTAGGCTTTGTACTAACCCCAGGAATCACATTCACTAGCTCAGGCACCTGCCAAACTTCACACTAGGTCTTTCACCAGAGCTTTGGTAGTGTCCGGGGGAAAAAGACTCCATGGTATGGCGTAGGGTAGTGGAGCAGCCCAAGAGGCATGGAAATATGGTGAAGCAAAGAAGAATGAATAACATGGATTCCAACACCATATGTGCAAAGGTCTGTGTAACCGGACACATCTCAGGGGGTCTTACAGAAGCAGCTCTCCACATTTGTCACAATGCTGCTGCTGCTAACCAGGAAACTTATTTACACTGTGCCCCACAGGAAGGCCCTATCACACTCAGTGGGGAACAAGTGCAAAGCTCTGAGGCCTACAGTCTTACCAGACAGTCACTCTCTCGGGGTCCTGTACACCCCGCGGCACACTGGTTGTGGCAGCAGTCACTGGGGGACCTGCCACGACAACGCCGGGAACATTGCTGGGCACAGATGATTTTGGTCACTGTAAAAGAAAGATCACCAATGAGCTGCATCTAGGTGGCAGTCATATTCTAGGGACATCGAGGAATACTTGTATGCAGTGGAAAGAAACAAATGTGGAATGGATGGATTATGTGACTTTGGAACAGGCTTCTTGGCATTCACATTCAGTCAAACTGAGTATCATTGCTTCCCTTGCTATATTTTTCTTATCACTTAGGAGAACTGATTAGAGCAAGTCTGATCAGATTTTTTGGATAAGTAGATATTAGCTAGAGAATTCTTGCTGATACAGAAAGCACACAAGCCAGAAGAGCACCTGTCCGGAAGTATGAAGAATCGGATACTGATGTCACAAAGGCAATGAACTGTGGTCAGGTTTGAAGCCGACACATTCCTGGGTTCTTTGGGTGAGCCAGCAACCATGCTGGAGTAAATTAAATTTTTGTAAAAAGTAGGATTCACACATATGCTCCCTGGAGAAGCACTTGGTAGTAGGAAAGGGGGGAGTGGGAGCAGAAAACAGGGGATCCTACACGCTTGGGTAACTGGCTTTTAGGCATTTTATGATGGGCTGAAGGATTCAAATAGTTAGCTTTAGATGGCTGGATGCAATGGGGTTGGCAACACCGACATTCATGAAACAGCTAACATTGGGTCTTTTGCCAAGTTCCTGTACTTGTCCTTTACCAAAGTGTAGGAGAGGAGGGCCACACACAGCGTGGGCCCCTCTCACAGGGGCACGTTTCTCAGGCCCCAGTCCTGTGCCGACTTACATCTCTGGCAGTTCTCTTCTCCTCCTCCCCAACAACTTCCGTTCGGACAGCTCGGATCACATTTTTGGCCTGAAATAAAAATCTAGTAGTTAAATGTGTATTTCAATAAAAGTGAACCAATGACATGGAAGCCACTGATGATGCCTCTCCAGAGGTCCTAGAGAATGCACTAGAAACAAGGAACAGTTTGGAAATTTGGTATTCATAGTTGACTCAGATGCTTTGTAGGGTAAACTAAAAGACTCGTGTAAGAAAAGTCAAACCGGTGAGCCATGGGCTGCTTTTGCTTGCACTTTAGCTTTGTAAACTGAGAGATAGATAGATAGATAGATAGATAGATAGATAGATAGATAGATAGAGATAGATAGATAGATAGATAGAGAGAGAGAGAGAGAGAGAGAGAGAGAGTTCCTATTGGCTTGTCACAGGCACACAAATGACAAATGAGTCCAGGGTCCGAGAAGTGCTTTGGCTTCTCTTGCCAGATTGACTCCGTGTGTACTCATTCACCTTGCTATATCCAATCTCGACTAACTTGGGGTGGGGGGCAGGCAATCATCACTGGGTTTAGGGATGGTGAAAAGCACCCTTCTCCTGCAAGCCATGGAGTGGTGCAGAACGCGCCACAGGAAAGTAAACATTCTTATTCTGTGAGCCACTTGGCCAGTTACCTAGAATTTTAGTTAATAGCTGCCATGCGACTGTCTGGAATTCTTTGTAATTCATAATTTTTTGTATTTTTATATTTTGCCCATATCAAATTGCAGCTGCAAAGTTTTTTAATCTCATGAGTTATATTCTGTAATTAATCACACTGAGAGATGTGGATACCAAAGTATTAGCCAACAAGTTTGTTGAAAAGTTCAATAGAGGAGATTTATCATTCTTTCCTTTTCTCTTTGTGGTTCTGCATACTTAACATTTCCATTAGACTCTTAAAGGCCACTCTGTTTAGTTTTAAAGCTCCCTTTGGGGCAATCAGATATCATATAAGGTAACTTTATATCATATGGAAGCTTATTTGTGTCTGAATTCAGCTTTTCAACTTAATATTCATCCTCATGTTCCCTTCTAGGACTTAAATGTATGTTAATATTTTATTACATGTACTTAATACATATTTGGAATTCATATGGAGGTATGAAGTAGCTGTTGATTTTATTTATTTTCTTTCATGCAAATCCATTTTCTTATAGCCTCAAATTCTACACTTCATCAACAATAATATACACTGGCCATTCTTCTGAGCCTTACCTATATTACAGTGAAAATCATCTCATAATACTAGTTTTGTCATTGATAAAGATGGAGTGCAAAATTCTCAAAAGGCTTATATGTCTGCAAAGCACTGGTCAGTGGAAGAGAGGAGAAGGTAGGAGACATAGGAGACAGATTTCCTATCTTCTAGTATGTATAACTCTCATGTCCTTACTTAATTTTTAAAAATTCTACTATGGCTCTGACATTTTAGCCATTTGTCCCTTAGTCATTGTCATTACAGAACAATTTATTGAATGAGTTCTTACTTGAAATTCCACTTATTTATGCAATTTTGATTCAGTTAAGCTCATGACTAGTGCTATAGTTTAGATACACAATGACCCCTCGAGGCTCTTGTGTTATCAGCTTTACGTCACAAAGAGATGACAGAAACTTTAAGAGGTAGAACTAATGACCATCCTGGCAAGATGTGTCCATGGGTGATGATAGCATGAACATTATGAGGGGTATTTAGCCATTCTCTAGTTGTACTTCAGATCCATCCTGTAGGAAGAAACATGTCTGCTACTGTAAATCTGGTCAAGACCTCATGGCTGGGGAGCTTCCAAGCCTTAGGGAAGAACTTACTACTATTATTTTGCCAAACAGACATAGCATCAACGTGCCTTCAAAAATACTTAAATCTACATCATATATCAGTGCACAGTCCTCATCAGAGAAGCTTCTTTATGTAGTAAAAGATAATTACTACAAAGACTTGTAACTGGTGGAAGTGCAGAGAGTAAATGTCTGTGGAGCGCTCAGTCATACACAAGACATCTGTGTCACAGCCCTCATCCCAAGGCTCTAAGATCATCACAGAAAAGAGGGCAGAAAGATAATAAGAGCCAGAAAATTCAGGGAGGACAAATTCTGGACAAAACAGGGCTGCTGTACTCATGACCTCACAGCAGCTGTGGCTGCCTGCCCAAGACCTGCAGAAGACCAAGCCAATCCACATTCCAACATGGGTGGGGGAAGGGACCATGAGAACCTACCCCTGGCTGCTGGAGGAGGAAGAGCCATCTCTTCATGGGTGTGGCCCCTGATTGGTTAAGCCTGCTCCAGTGGATATCCCACAGCCATGCACGTATGTGCAGATCTTACTGCACTCAGTGGGTCATCAAAAAGATATGAAAGTGGGAGGAAGGCGTGAGAGCAGAGGAGTTGGGAGGATGGTCAGAATGCCAAATATGATCACAATTCAGTGTATACATGTGTGTAATTATCAAGTAATAAAAAATGCTGTATGAAAAAAAAATGGTGGAAGTATTGGAAGCTCAGTTGTTGGAGGCAGGGTCTTTGAAGGGACAGGAGGATCCTGATCCCTTCTCTTTTGTCTTTCACTTATGGTGCCACAAGGTGAGCATGGATGGTGGTTATGGCTGCACAACAATATGGACACATAATGACTAAGATGACAGATTTCCTAAGTTTTCACCCCAGCTATTTTAATAAATACATCAATAAAAATAAAGCAACTAAGCAAAAATAAAGTAAGAGTTTTAATTGACTTTTTTTTTTTTTGGATTTGTGTAGACTCTGTGGAGGGCCAAACCCAACTAGTATGAAGAGCACAAGTGCAGGAACATAAGAGTAGGAAACCCAGCCCATGCTTTACCCTACAAAGTGGAAAGATCAGCACTATTAAGAACCGGCTTGGTGGAGTTTGGTGAGTGAAAACATGCCATCTCAGAGCTTCCTATACAGCGTTAGGGAAGGTCAGAGGTAGAGTCCCCAAGCTTAGTTCTGGCCATCTTCCAGGGCTGCTGCAGGAGTGTGGCACGGATGAGTTGGGAACATTTAGGAAACCCCGAACAAATCTCCTCTCTGTGGTTCTGTGTTAGAGTGTTTACACTGGTCAGCTGATAAGCAGAGCCCTCAGGATCAAGATGACCTGGGTGTCACTGTGAGAATCAGGAACAAGACAGAGGCATACGTGACTTATCAACACCCATGAAGCAGAGGGGACATGTCCTGTATCACGAGTGCCACTGCAACCTGTATCCTAGAGAAAGGTCTCTCTGCTCAGTGGTCTTGCAAGGCTCTGCCACCCTGGGAGTAATGGGTGTTGTCTTGGACAACTAAAATTTTCTTATATTACTGTCTTGAGTAAAGCTCCTCCAATGGAAAGATTATTTGTTTTGCTATTATTTTTGTGGTATGTTGATCAACCTGATCTAAAGTTAACATCCTCTCTTCCACTTCAAAACTGTCCACTTCAACCACTCAGAAGTTCTGAAGTACACAGAAAGTGAATGACACACTTACAGCTGCTAGGTTGGTTCTGTAAGTCCATTGACATGTTGCTCAGAAAGTCATTGTGGACAATGTCCTTCCACTGGATAGTCTCCAGGTTGCAGAGGATGGGGTTGTTGCTAAATCGCACAGCACCAATCAGGATTTCTGCAAGAATAGAATCCATAGCAAATAAACTCTTTGACTCTTATTAACTCAGAAAGTGCATGCACTCATTTCTTTATATTTCTAATGTTCTACATTATAATGTTTTCAGTGTGCAAATCTGAAGTCCTCAAGATTGGCCCTACAAAAGATCCGCTGGCATATATGAAGATACATTTTATGATAATGACAGGAAAAACAGGCATTTTTTGAGGGTTAGGTTGTGGCTTTTAGAAATACAACAGGGAGGGAGAAAAGGCCTATTCAATATGTATGGCACGAAGGAAAGACATACAGTGACTGGAGTTGTATCAGACAGTCTGGAATGATTGGATGATGCGAAGGGTCAGTCAGGGCGGAGGAAAAAGGTAGAAATCATAAGCATTTGGGCTCAGAAGACCAGGACTATCACAGGGCAATTGTTATCAGGCATACACCACTGGAGGATTTCCACTGAAGAAGAAAAGAGTGTGAATGTGATATGAAATAAGAACTATATGTATGAAGAAGACTCAAATAAACACCACGTGTAAGGCCATATAAGTTTTTTGAAAGAAGAAATGAGAGGGCTTTACAAAGTTAGTGTTGAGAAAAAGTCAAACTTGTACAAAAGGAGAGGGCTACATTAATAACATTAGACAAACATGAATGAAATGATTTATGTATAGAAAAATCTACAGATACTGTGGTCGGCAAAGATGAACCTGACTCGTGGGCTTCTCTCTGAGAACTGAAATGCACAGAGAGATAGATGCATCACAGCCATGTCCAAAGGAGACAGGACTGATAATTTGGATAGTTGGTGTGTAGCTACTACCTTACCACGGTCCAAAGACTATCATTTAAATATAGGGAGAAGTCTGGAAAGATGGCATACACTGACTTTCTAGGGGAACTGGGTTTGGTTCCCAGCACCCATAGTGTGTGGTTCACAATTGCCTGTAACTTCAGTGCCAGGGCATCCAATATTTCTGGCATCCATGGGCACCTACACTCACATGCTCACCTCACTTCCACACATAAGCATATAATTAAAGTGCAAATAAAACGCATAAATGTGGGGAAGCCCAACTATAGACACAGAAGTGGCTGTCCCACTGCACAGGCAGGGAATGGGAGCACCTGTCTGCGTGGAGTGCTGACATGGGAAGGCTCCTGGGGAAAGCTTGCAGAGACTGCTGGGTGACAAGGAGAGGAGATGGGCACATATTCAGGAGCGGGATTTAGAGGAAAGGGAAGTTGGAGATACGGAAAGCTTCCAGCAGACAGAGATGCAAAGCAGGACTGTAGATATGGGGCAGGTGACAGTTTTTTCAACAGATGGCAGGGCATCAACAAACTTCAGAAGGAAGGTGGGCAAGTCAAGATGGGGAGATCTACCTGGAAAACACAGGTGACAGCAGTATATAGAAACGAGGAAACGGAGGCATGAGGTCAAACTTAGCAACATAAGATTGGCACAGGAAGGTTGCAGTGACAACTAAGAGAACAGACAAGGAGGCCCATGGAGCTGGGAGAGCCATCAATAGGTAACTATAATAATTATGGGAGGGGGCGCAGGATTCAATAATCTCCTCCTTATAACTGAATAGAGAAAGACAATGTGGAGAGAGTCAAATCTATTGCTTTTATTTTAACATCTGGGAAATGTTCAGTTGTGACAGTAGTCCTATATTAAATAACTGGGACCCATACAACTATAACCTTGCATTAATTAGAAAAAATAGGGGTAGTCCAGTTAGAGCATGCACACACAGGCGCATGCACAGACAACAACAACAAACTAGGAACTCAATAGCCGATGCATGCTTTGTCTGTAGTATTACGGTTGATTTTTGTCAACACAGAGGGAGCACATTAACAAATGTGTGTAGTACATTTTGGACGCGAGGGCACTGAGATACAGAGAATGACACAGTTAAAGGAGAAGCTGCAGAGTCGTTTGGCTGACGAGTGATCGAGCTGGGGCTGGAACACAGACAGCCTGGCTCCAGGATCTAGACTCACACCCGCTGGCTTCCTCACATGTATGAGGCAAGATAGGCAGAACAAGGCATGCCAAAAGTACCAAACAGGCCATTTCATGCAATGTGTGTACGGGAGAGATGAATGCTAGCACAAATTCAGAAACATGCGTGGGTGCTCAGAGCAGTTAAAGTGGTGGGTGGGAATTCTGGAGGCAGTTTATGGGATGGTGAACCAGGGAGCTGGGAAAGGAAGGGCCTGGCTGCTTGTGTGGCCATATCCTAGCTCCACACACCAACAGGACCCCACTCTCTCAACTCTTTCTTTTCACCCCATCCCCCTCCCCATCTATATGGCTTCCCCATCAGAACGGCAGGGCACACAGGGATGAAAGAACCAGGCATGGGGTACAGGGCTTCGGAAGAGTCATCTTACTGTCATGCCTTTATCTGTAAAATGACAATGTACAATGCCCGCTTTTGCATTCAAGTGGAGTTAATGACTTCAGAAACAGTCCAGGAAGAGGAGGAAGAATTGTTGTTTCTCATCATTTCAGCCACCTTTTCCAGTTCCTCTTCAACTTCAAAACCTTTCCTCCTCTTCCCAACTTATACCCAAATTCCCATGTAACAATATTAACCTTGAAACCTGCTCCTCAAGCAAGACAGATTTTAAGTATGTTAGGCCCCTTTCCCATGAGTGGTTTTGGGGCTCAACTGCTATTGGTCCACGTTGGGAGAGATATCAAGTGACCAAATTCACAAGCTTTTGTTGAAGCACACTAATTGTTCTGTTATTTTTCATTGTTGTTGTTAATGTTTTGCTATACCTCATCAATGAACTGAATGATGAGAACCATACAGATACAGGAAAAGCATGGCATGTATGGTTTGGGGTACCTGATGTTTCAGACATCCAGTTTTGCCTAGGAATGTGTCCTGTGTCCCTGCAAGATGAGGGAGTGACTGCATGTCCTTTCTGCCTCTGGCCAAAGTTTATTTCCTGTTAACACAAACTCTCACTCTCCACAGTTGACTGGATCCAGAGAACTTGGTCATGTATTTCTTATCTCTGGACGTTATTCCTCATCCGTGGAAGAAATGGTTTCTACCTCGCCGAAATCTCTTTCCATCTCATTACCTACCATCTATGTAACTATCACCCACTGAATCCTGCAAACAGCCCTCAGTACATGTGTTTCACAAACATGTCTTCTCTGAGCTAGGATTAACTGAAGTGACAGGTTTACTACACACCCTCTTTGTCTTGATGTCCCACCCCTTACCCTGTAAGTTCCGCATGGGCAGGTCTCTAAGTCCGGTTCTGTTTGTCCCATAGTTGGACAGGACAGCTAAGGCATAGGTGTTTTCATACAGAGTGTTTCCCCTTATGATCTGCAGGTTCTCCAGAGGAATCTTCTCCACAGTGTTGAGGGCAATGAGCACATAGCCAGCCACCTCCTGGATGGTCTGAGAGGAAAAACAAAGCCTATTAATGTGGGTCCAGAAGCCCTATTTAACTTCACAATGACCCATTCATATGGCAGATAAATCTAAGACACATAGACAATCACACGTGGGTAAAGGGTGTGGAAGGATTTGCAACGATTTTTCTCATGTTTGCATTTGAAGGTTGCATTAAAGAACAGCCCATCGTTTGATATGTTGTGACCCCCACTTTAACTCAGACATATGGAAGTGAAAATAACCATTTTGAATTCATCTCTAATGACTCCTTGTAGAAGGAAGAAGTGGGGGAGAAAGGGAGAAAAACTGAAATAAAGACAAAGTAAACCCAACTGGAAGTCCAAGTGTCCGCAGGTTTTGAAGCCTTCAGCGTTGGCTCCTGAGGATATTTACGATTGTAGAACATCAGAAGGGGTTCTCTCCAATTTTCTTTTCCACAAGTGACTTGACTTTAGCTGGCAGAGTGGACTTCTCATAACACTCACCTGATATCCCTTGGATTTGTGGCTTCCATAAGATGAAGTATCCATGCCTCAAGTCAAATTCTGCTGAGGCTTCTCTGTTCATGTTTCATTTGATAGTATTTGAGTAGGACAACCACTTTCAATCAACTAACCTTTAAGAAGGAAAGGTCGTAACCCCGTTGCACATAGGTAATTTCCAAGTTCCCAAGGACCACTTCACAGTTGTTGAACATCCTCTGCAGACTCAGAAAGTGATCTTCAAAAGTGCCGAGTTGGGTGAGCCTGTTACTTGTGCCTTGGCAAACTAGAATAAAAGGGAAAGAGGTCTCTCAGAAGATGTGGAGTGAGGTAGCAAACCACAACAAAACAATACTCATCAGCTTTCTGAGCCACAGTGACTAACAATCACCTTTGATCAAAGCCACCACAACGCTGATGTGGTAAGAGATGTTTAAGTTTACACAGCTGTAATTCATAGTGAGACAGAACTCATCCCTGTGATGCAGGCGATCATGTGATATTAAGGATACAGAGAACAGAAAGCATTAAAGGTGGAAGGTGGGGAAGATGTAATTTCCATAGAGGTTTGTATTAGTTACTTATTTTGTTTCTGTGGCAAAATACCAGAAAAGAGCCCCTTAAGTAGAGAAGGGTTTACTTCAGCTTACAGTTCTAGGTAAGACAGCCAACTATGGCAGAACAGGAATGGCAACCAAAGGGTGAAACATTGCATCCACAGCCAGGAAGCAGAGAGAGGTGGTTACCACTCAGCTCCCTTTCTCCGTTTCATTTAGTTTGAGGGCCCCAGCCATGGGTTGGTGCTGCCCACCCATTAGGGTAAATCTTCCTGAATCAATTAACCTCATCTAGAAAACTGTTCACAGATATGCCGAGATGTCTGTTTCTATGGCAATTCTAAATCTTGTCATGTTGACAATCAAGATTAACCATAGAAGTCTCTAAAACAGGATAGACTTAAGAGTGCCTGCAGAGAAAGATAGCAATCAAATCTATGTGGATGATACAATTGCAAAGTGAGTTAATAACAATGCAATGAACATTTTACTTCACAAAAATAAATGTGGTGCATTGTTGTGCATACAAAGGATCTCCAAAACCACAAGACACAATAGGCAATGCTTTTTAATCCCAATTCTATATCCCTAAAATCAATGGAAACAACGGAATTTTAAAAGTCAGTGGTTAGACATTAAAAATACGCCTCGGAATCATCCAAGGACAAATCAAAGTTCTGATTATAGAATACCCAGAATTCTTTTTCGAACTGAAAAGACAACACTTTAAAGCAGTGGGTTAGTAAGAACCCAACATGTCCTTCTGTCTTTTTCACATTGTGTTATTCCAGCTAACACAGGTATCCATATGTTTGTCTTGCATCCCCGCCAATATACAGCATGTCAAGACACAGACTTAATCCAAGAAAACATGCGAAATTAGGGGCCAAAGTTAGACCACAGAAATGCACTCAGTAGTCTGCATTTAGAAGCAGAGGAGAGGATAGTAATAAAATGGTATTCACAACCTGGCTTTTGGGGAGACATGTTTAGGCAAGTATAACAAAACAAAGAGGCTTGGAGCTTTTGAAGCAGGGATCTTGTTAAAGGATATACTTTGAACCAAAATTATCCTAAGATTGAAGAAATATGGCCTCTGGGTTTAGCCATTACGTTTGGAACTGGCCAGATCCTTCTGTGTTGGCAAAGTTGCTCCCTGGACAGTCACAGTAACCAGGGGACAGAGCACAAAATAAGGCCAATGTCAACACAGTGGTACTTTCTTTAGGTACCTTTACAATATGTATTACTGTTTTATAGGCTTCTTTGTTCCCGCCCCTTGGGTTATTCCAAGAGCATCATCTGTCTGGCCTGGCATGATGGAGCCACAGTAAGCAACCGGCACATGTTCAGACACCACATAATCAACCCAAGGCATTTACAGACATTATGAAGCAATCTTCTCGTCTTCTTTAACTCTATGGGAATCTTCCTAGCCCCTTCCATTTTCTCTAACTAATTCAGTAGACGTGAGGGCTGTCACATAGAAACTGAAAGTTGACAGGCTTGGACCCCTATCTCCTGTCTGTAAAGACAGGGTAACTGCACAGTCCTTCCCAATATGTCTGGTCTGCTTTTATCTAAGAGTGTGAGCTGCTCTGGTGTTTGCCTCCACTAGGAACAACTTTTCAGTCTTCTGTGCACATAGATCCTTATGATGCCACCATAAATGTGTCTGTAGGGGTTTGGCTATGGTAGTCCTCCTTCCCATAGTTACACTGTTGATTGGCAGCCCCTTTTCTAATTAACAGCAGTAGCCTTTGCTTTTAATTCCTACTGGTCAACCATGGCCCCAGTCACCACACGAGTTAGCCTTGTTCTCCACATCAGTGTGGTATGAAGAAGCTACCCCAGCAGGGTCCCATTCAGAGGCGTCCTTCAGCACACAGAAATACATTTAATTATATATAAATAACCAAGTACTTCAGCTTGCCAGTTTCTTTAGGTGGATGTTAAGATTTTCCTTTGTTATTAAGCTAACTAGTAAGCTTTGTCAAACAAAAGTCAAACAATGCTGATTGAGATTAGTGAGTTACAGAAGAAGAAAGAAAATGTATTTGTGTTTCTTTCATCTATTCAAAATGCTAAACAAGCAATTGAACTGTTTATGAATACTTATTAGGAGCTTTATTATCTGCAGTTAGGATAAGTTACTTTCATATTCAGAGGAAAAGATACATTTGGGAGACACTAGCAATACTACTCATTATTTGTATGAATTATTAATTCACAAAACACTTTGGGAGACAACTGAATAACTTGTGTAAGCAAACAAGTTAAAATCTACACGATAATTCCATAAAAAAATTTTGAAACTTTTATGCACAAAGTTTATTACTTTTAAAATATGGTACATGAAATTGCAAAGAAACCTAAATGCTCCTTGTCCCATCCCAAAACTATGTTGAGAATAAAGAAGAAATTGATATTCTATGTATCAATAGTCAAGTCTGTTGATACATAAAGAGTTAATTATTCATTTCAAAAGAAATAATTAATGATTCTGTTTATTCTGAGGCCTATTACTCTCTATGTACCTAAGAGAAGATATTATAAAAATAGAATTTACATTGAAGATAAGAACAAATTGATATAGGGGCAGGAAGTATATCTCAGTAGAGAGACACATGTTTAACATGGAAAAATCTCTGTGTTCAATCACACACACACACACACACACACACACACACACACACACACACACACACACGGTAGGGAGAGAAAGAGAGAGAGAGAGGGAGAGAGAGAGAGAGAGAGAGAGAGAGAGAGAGAGAGAGAGAGAGAGAGAGAGAGAGAGAGAACAAGTTTCCTAATTGAAAGAAAACGTACAATTTTGGCTCCATCTTTTATACCAAATAGTTCACTTTAAAATAACTACTTTTTGAGAAGTGGTCTCACCACATAGCACTGGTTAGCCCCAAACTCACTATGTAGACCAAGGTGGCCTTAAATTCAAAGAAATCTATCCACCACTGGCTAATGAGCGCATCTTAAATTTTAAACCTACGATGAAAAGTTAATAGTATGTCAATGACACAAATAAAATTCCTCAACAAATACAGGTTTACCAATATTTTGGATTTTGATAATAACTGAACCCTAATATTGCAAGAATTCTGCCACTGAGCCTCTCCAAGCTCTAGCAAGAAGGATTTCTGTGTTTGTTTTATTAAACCAGGTGAAAGTTGTTACCTTTTCCTCAATGTTTGTCCTTGAACTAGTCCCGTGAATTCTCTAAGCCTCAGAGATGAAAGGAAGTGGTAAAAATAATATTGTCCTCCCAGAATTACTTTGAAGATGGGGAAATAAGTAAGAGCCTTCAGTTCTATTTTATTGAAAGAATTACATTCTTGTCGCTACTGGTAATGTAAGTAAAGTGTGATATCAAATGCATCTAGGCAGATGTTAGGACCTTGGCCACTGCACACTGCCCTGCCCTGTACAGCCACTACACCATACCTTTAACTGAAGTTTCAGGTCTGTACAATCACTACTCAGATGTCACAGCTACTTTGTAGAATATTTATCAGATCAGAGTATCAAAGGGAAAGAATATGTAAAAACTCGTGCTTTAAGAATTCCATAAAGCACACAGTTTTGGATTGGATATTTAAGCTATTTATTCAAAGAGAACTTTCACATTATTCTAGGACTGTCTGTGTGAAAACTAGACAAACAGAAGTGCTTCAAGCTCCATAAAGAATCTAGGAATTTGACTTCCCTCTTGCAAACCCAGGGCAAGTGCCACTAATCAAGAACAAAGGTTGTGGGATCCAGGTCCTCAAAGCACTTACCTTCTGGCCCCACTGTATTAGGAGCATTTATAAATGTATGTAAAAATTGAAGGAATTACAGCATTAGCATCCTCATGTCAGCTCTTTACCACACTCTGTCACATTTCTACTCAGATCCATCTGGTCTTTGGATATATTTTAAAGTAAGGGGGAAACATCAGTCAACTCCACCTTGACTCGCAGCCATATACTTGGCACCATATATAGTGTTTACAGCTGTTTATGAGGAGTCTTGCATTAACTAGACAATGAATACGGAAAGTGCATACACTGGGATGATCTAATCTCCTGCCACCATAGGAAATGTCACCATCTTCCTGACCCTTACTTCCCAGGCAGGCATGGCTCATGCCAGACACAATCAGACTCTTAGACTTTTTACTGCAGTGTGGTCTTGCCTACATTGGAGCATCACAGGGATGGGAATCATGAAATGCTGCCATTTAACAACTCACAATTTTGGGGATTTATCTTTGCTTTGTGACAGATTCTAGGCAAGTGCATTAAGAGGAATTATTTGTGCATTTTCTTAAGGCACAGAGGGCTGATTTAATGCCTGGTTATTCTCTTAAGGAAACATACACTAAACTGAAACTAAGAAAAATATGCCTCCCTCGTGCAGTGGTCCTGGGTTTACAGTATATAGGCTCTGGCACTTCTATGATAATGTTGTATATACAAAACTTCTTGTTCACTGCACTAATTAGCATACAACATAAGACAAGCTTCTCCACAGTCCTCCAGGTTCACTTGCATACTTTTAGAAGTGCCCGTGTAAATTCATACTTGTTTTAATTTGTTGTTATTCTCAGTTACCCAGTTAGGGTTGCCAAAGTTACCAGGTTCTGGGAAATGTCTCTCCATGACCTATGAAATTGTCTCTCCTTCTGTCCTTGCCCTGTTTCCTACAGTACATGCTACTTTAAAGCAAAGGT